TTTCCAGAAACTAAAATTTTGAAATGATCTATTACTTACATAAGACCGCAGTAAACGATTGATAAATATAATGTAAATTTGCATTTCTTACCGCGATTTTGATTCAGACAATTCTTTTTCAATCTTAACCTTCTCGTCATTTGCCGCTTTGTATCGATTTTGTAATGCAGATATTTGTCCATTTACAGACTCATATTCTCTTGTAATTTTGTCTATGTTACGCTGATCGTCAGCAACTGTTTGCTCAAGATTTTCTTTTTTTGCAACCGTCTTTTCATATTCTCGGACGACTTCAGAGTAAGCTTTTTTTGTATTCATCGTTTATTTGTTTTACCTCCTGTAGTTCTTGTTCTAGAGCCTTAATTTTCTCATCATTTCTGTTACTTGAGATTCGGTCGTGATGACGGGCCTTACGGGTTTCATTTTCCATTTTCAACTTTTCAATCTCTTCTTTCAGTTTCAAAGTTTCGCCAGAAGACTAAAATGATATAACTATAACACCTTAATTTCCAGCATCGATAGAATAAAAATTATTCACGAATTATTTCACGCTTACAAATTCATATCAATAATTGTTTTAACATTGGAAAAGCTTATCGTCACTTTAACAGTTACAATAATTATATATACATGTATTCAGCTTGCCCAGAATGATTTACATGTTAAGTGATCACACAGTTTGACCTTACAAAATGCAAATCTGTGAAAATGTAAAATTTCTACCCTTGTTGACAATGATTGCTTCCATTCCCTCATTTCCTGTTTTGAATTCTGGATAAGAGTCGGGAGACCCTCGAGTTTTAAGAATAGTTCCTCAAGGTCTTTCATGGGCATTTTCTCATCAGAAGAATCAACGTCCATCTCCTGCTCAGTTGTTTGGGACTGTCTACCGGTTTCTCTCCCATGACGGGCATTTATGTTGTCGGTGTGACTATGTCTTGAAGTAGGACAAAAGTGGTGGCTACCCCAAGCTTGCCTTCTGTTACTTGACGGCATATGCCTGTCTCTAGTATTGTTATTATTATCTGTTATTGTTATTCCTTCATTAAGACATTGTAGGTCATTATTTTTAAAATGTGCATTTGGAGAATTGTTAGTAGGCTGATTTTCGCCACTGAATAGGTCTTTAAACGCATTTTACCATTTGATTAGGACTTCTTGAGTCGATGTACTGTATGTTCCATCAGTTCGTTCAATTTCCATAGGAATCGTATTTGTTCTTTCTGACGCGATTCCAACCTTGCCAATCGTTTTCCAAAGGTCTTTTGAGCTTTTACTTTTGCTAGATTCTAATATTGTTTCCTGCGTTTCATACCAATATTCCCTTTTTCTTTTCTGCACATTTTTATCGAATAATTTTCTTGATTGAACATATTCTTGTTTCAATAATTTTCTTTTATCCTTATTTTTGCATTTAGTGTACATTTTTTCTTTCATGCAAATATTATTCCAAAGCGAACTTAAGTATTCATTCCACAATGGTTTCTTTATACGACGTTTCTTGTTAGATTTAGCATTTATGGTCACTGTCTTGGGGTTTAAGTGCTTTTTCATTTCTTCATTCATTATTTCAACAAACTCTTCGTATGATTTGTCGATGCACTTCTGTTTATTCTGATCTCGTTCAAGAGCGCGAATGGTGTCTAATAATTTCATATGTGTTTCGTGTTCATTCATAAATATGTCCGGTATACATGTATTTGATCTATTGTATTTCACAAAGGTTGTTTTTTCTTCAATTTTGCAATGTTCTGCAAAGTGAATCTTTTCTTTCAATTTTATATCCCACGTTAGCACCGAATGGTCAGGTATTTTAAAATTTTCAATTGTTAAGATGTCAACTGCTTCACTTATCAAATCACTAGTTCTTATAATCTTCATGTCTTTGAAGCGGTGTAATTGTTCATATGGCACAATACAATTATCGACTTCCGACAATCCTTTTGAAGATACCCTAGTAAAATCATTTCGTCTAAATTTTCTGCCATTTAATATGCACATATTACTGCTAAGAAGAAAATTAATTAGCGCGTTACTGTACTGGCTCGAGTAATAATCAACAACATCTCGTTCGGGAATATTGTCAACTCCGGGTATGTAGTCTTCATGCTCGTTAATACTAATATTAATTAAAGTCACCTTCAATTGTCAATAAAGCACCATCTTGATATTCATAATATTCATTTACATTCACTGCTCTTGTCGAGTTGGACGGAGGAAGATAACATACACATATTCGCATGTTTTCATTCGACATTCTGTCTTTCAAATTTAACCAAAAAATATCTTCAGTTTCATTGTCAAGTATATTATTGTTATATTTCTCATATAAAGCTTTCTTCACAAAAATTCCTACGCCGCCATAACCTTTTAGTGCTCGTTTGTGTATTGATTTCCGGTTATTTCCGTACCATTTATAGCCGTCAATATGCAAGATGTCATTATTCTTTAAATGCGATTCAGCGATGCATACGATGTCTAGTTTCAGATTATCAAGGCACTGTTTTCTCAATGTATAGTTTTCTGAGTTCATATCTTTGCTAAACTATTCGGGTTCCAAAACCCGCACCTGACCTAGTATCTATCATAAAAGCCATCTGGTCTGCGGGAGTCATTACTGTTTATATCTCTTCCAAATCTACCATTTCGCTGACTATTAGAATCACGTGATCTCCTGTCACGTGACTCAACGTATCCTCTATAATATCTTCCATAATCTCTGTGCTCGTTTGATCTGTCTCGTTGTGTCAGACGACGGTTACGGTACCTAACATCTTGCCAATCATCCTCACGGTATTTATTCGATCTTACACTTTCATATGCGTAGATCCTATCACCCTTCATATAAACCTATCACTACCTACAACACTTGCGATCGCCTTAAGGTTTGAGATTCTTTTTCTTTCTTCAATCGATCTGAACTCATAAATGTACACATATTTGTATTTTCGATCGTTTCGAAGACTTTTCTTAGTTTTCATAACTGCCATTTTATCTTCCTCTGAACCTAATTGCACCATAACTACTCCAGTATCACTCATTGACTTTGGGGCTTTACGCTCGGTATATCCTACGTTGATTCTAAGATTCATTCCGTCTTCGAACATGTCTTCAACGAGTTCTTTTGTATTTTCGGGCGTTCTTTCTGGAAGATTTCTTATGACAATAGAGGGACAGTTGTTGGGTCTATTTCCATTTCGTGTTCGGAACTTGTTTTATTTTTAAGATTGGATGTTTTGAGCATGTCTTTCATTTCAGATCTAAATTTTTGAAGTTCTTTATTGAATTCTTTCTAAACCTTCTCAATTTCGGGAGACATTGTTTTGTATACACACTCTTTGATTGTCTGCTCAAAACTAGATTCAATCTTTGTCATTCTTTCAGAGAGTTCACACATTCCTTTTGTCATTTTTACATTTCGTTCGCGATTCGATTTAACGTCTTGACAACACACTCTTTTTCTTTTTCATTGACATTCACGCATTGTGATTTGGAACTATCCGCCGATAAACGCCGTTTTCTGCTTTTATTCTCCTTTGTGGTTTGTGATTGTTGATTCACTTTTGTTTATTTGCCTTTTGTTGATTTAATTGCTTTGACTGTGCGGCGTTTTTTAGTATGCGGTATCCCGGACGTTGGTGATTCGCCGGATATCAATGACTGCGAATGCGCAGCACTCTCCGCGCCGGTATCTATAGCAACGCTCTGGTTACTCATATCCGAAACGTAGTCCTGACTAGCCATGTCCTGGGGCGGTAATGTCTCTTCTGGGTCAAATCGTCATCAATTAACACAGATATAGAAGTGTCCTATATCTGAGCCATTGCGAACCAGTTATGATTGCCGGATCGAAATCCCTTTATAATAGATCTATTATATTTGTTCTAGATTTCGCTTTGAACATCACTAAAGTTTGAAATCATTCAAGCGGTGACGAATCCACCGGACAGAGGGAGGTGGGCGATAAAATAAAATTGTCCAATTTTTCATAAAATAACTAAGGCCGAAGGGCGATGTTAGTATGGACACAATTAATCAATCAGTCAATTTATCAAAATTGATATACCATTTACTGCGAAATAAATCCACAAATCTGACAAACTCCTATATATTAAGTCTATTACATGTAACAAACAAATTTTAGTTACCACATTGCATACCTAAGCAAAAAGTAATGAGTGGAAGTTCCATACTGAATTTATTGAACCAGTTGAATAACATTTTATTGTGCGAGCCTCTTGAGTGCACAATATTATTTTATTCAACGATTTCAATAAATTCAGTAATGAACCTGCACGAACATAATATTCTATTTATCATATACCAAAATAAAGACTGTTTAAAATGATGAAGAATAATTTTTCATTGACACGCCCATAGTGTAACGTTTACATTTAGCACGTCTTTACAACACAAATGACGTCACGTCAAAATATATGCACGGCCGTGCATAACCATCTTTAGGGAGTCGCAAAAGCGGCACGGTTATGTGATAAATGCGCATACAGCGCTGTTTGAACCAATCTACTACGCAGTGATCTCCCCTTATGAGTACAGATCTCTGCCATCACAATTATTTAATCAAATATCAATATTTTGATATTTTAGTTTTTTAGCTTTTAATTTATTTTTCATTATTTTGATTACTTTTGATAATTTTTTGATAAACTATAACGGACGTAGGTACGGCAAGTTAAAAAATAAAACAGAAAGAGAAAAATGACGTTAGGTTTTCTATGTAACGGTCGATATTTACATTTGAATTTCGACGTTACGGCATGTGACTTTCATGATCATGTGACGTCTGTGAAGGCAGTGTTTACAATTCTGCCAAGGGAGGTAATCACTGTGAGAAGTTTGTGTCTGAACGTTGTAACTGACATAAGCGGTGACGTCAAAAACATACTAAAATGCAATCAAATACATGTAGATGAAACATCAAACTTTGCAAAGGTATAAATTCTTAATTAAATGAAGAAAACGTGCATTTTGTCAGAATAATAAACAAAGTCTGGATCATCCCTCGTATTGTACTAAATTTTTATTACCATCAAAATATTAAATTGTAAAGGCAAGATATTGGATAACGTGCTGTTATAATCGAAATATTAATAATCGGGTATCGTTATTTGAAAGCTTCCTTTATTCACAAATCATATCAGAAATTTGTTTCTTTATTTATATCTCTACAAAACTTATACATACTTGGTAAATTTCTATAATAATTCTCAACATATGTTTTTCACAAATGTTCATATTAATAATATTAATTATGCAGGGCACTTAAAGAGAAAAAAATGGAACTCATCCTCACTTTATAAATTTTGTATTGCAAATCATCTAATATAACTCTTTCACGTGAATATTTACATGTACATACCTGTACATTATCTAAGATTATGAGCTGAAATACACAGTGTAGTTTAAACCATTCTTTGACTTCTTGATACAGTTGTTTCTAAACAAGGTGTCATTCCAAAACTGTCCTTTAACGATTTATACAAAATAACACCTCATTAGAATTTATACTAGCTTTCCACTTTCCATTCTTGTAAATATCTGTTTAAAAACCAACAATACAATGATCCTGTTTTACACCATACCTCCATAACTCCAAGAAGCCATATATTTTTCTATAAGACTTCGTTAATTTGGAAACCAGTTTGATAACAGAGTGTTCTGATTACGTAGTGTACACTGTACATATGTGTCGATCACCAATCAATAAACCAAAAACATATAAATGTAGAAAATTTTTCACTTGGAACGTAAGATATCAGTTATTTTAAGTCATTGAAGTAACACGTTATTCGGAGACAAACAATTTCGGTCCTATATGTTGGATCCGACCAAACTTCAAAAACTTTGAAAACAATAATCGAACAAGTACTACACTAAAACATTTGGCAAAATAGGAAATTGGACTGCATACTCAAAACTGACCAAGAAATTGTATAGGTGCTTTTAATTCATTAAACATCAGATTCTGTCGATTTCATTCCGTGTACGTATATGTAATAGTCCTTACAACTTGCATAGTCTCTTCCCATATCCGCAACAACTTTCGGACTGTCAATACCATATTTTTGGATCATATCTGTAAATTTCAAGTATTGTGTCCAATCTGGATAATCTACAGCCTTTAACAACTGCTTTCTAGAACTGCCCGATTCAGTTTCCCTTTGTGAGCTACCAAAGTAATTGTTTGCAGCCGTTGATTTTCCCGGCTTATACACTGTACGGCTAAAAGTCTTTTTATCAGAAAGATGACCGGAGTTGCCATAGTTTTTGTCATATACATTTTGACTCTCGTGGTTAGGAGAGAATCCATCATTACCATCATATGAGTGTGTTTTAACAGTGTCTCCATCCGAACGATAATAATCTTTGTTCTGACCAAAGTGTTGCCTGTTAGAGCCAGATCCCACGTTATTTCTTTCTGCTTCAGCATTTCTAGTTTTGCGTCTTTGCGACTCCGCTTTTTGTTCACCAAAGGCCTGTGCCACACCTTTACTCAGAATTGCTCCATCTTTCTTCAACAGTAAAGCAGGCCATACCATATACTCAAACTTCGATCCAGTTGATGTGTAAAACTTGAAGTAATTGCTATCAAACTCATCATTCGTCTTTGGTATATCTCCAAAAACAAGGGGAGGATCTTGCGCATTCATAAACCAGCAAAGTTCTACGCAACCCTTGAAAAACTTTAGAACTCCTTCATTACTCAGAAATTTCCGATAATCTTTGAAGCGGAATTTGTTCAAACATTTCTGAAAAAAAAAGAGTAAATATATAAAGACTAAAATATATATGGCAAATCTTTCCACAGCTTATCAAGGCAGCTAACCTGTTGTCAGCAGGTAGCGACATTTCAGTTATGTTTATGTACAGACATGGTTAAGCAAAAATCGTAAAAGCTAAACATGGCAACATCCTCAAATACCGCCACTGAATGCCATTTCAAGTCCATTATTATGTAAGCATTGATTTTAAGTCTAGAGATTAAATAATGAAGGTATTGAATGAAATACACACATAAGTCACCATATGAATCAGTGATAAACATGTGACCAGATGACAAATATTTAAAATTATGACTTATTTTAGATACATGACATTTTCTTCTGAACATTGGAGTATATATGCATATAATAATGTTGCATTTACGAAAATATTATGCATTTATTATAATGCCTCATATACCTCGATAACTTCAGGGAGAGATTCTTCTGCTGTAAATCTTCTGAAATCTTTCAATTGTTTGAAAGTATGGGCTGGAAGTCTCTCTCTCTAAAATACAAAACATGGTCACAAACGCTCATATTTGTGAGAAATGCAATAACGACATAAGTATGCCTGAAGTTAGAGTACGAAACTCTCTATGTTTTTAATATAAACCAGATACAAGATATCCAATTTTTTTTATCAAAATGTTAGCCTTACATGTAATCTAATTTTAGAAACTGAAGCAACAAATAACTTGGCTTAAGACAAAAATACAAGTAGAAAAGATTAATTATATTAAAAAGAAAAGTGTCAGTGCTTGGTAAAACTTTTGATTACATGGCTAGGTAACCCTGCAAGAAAAGCCGAGCTGTAGATGTTCCAAGTTAAAAGAGATAATTTAGAACCTTAGTGTAATACATGTATGACTATAACAGTTATATAGACGCTCTACCAAATGATCCAAGATCATGATTAACAAAGCTAATAGTTATTAAGTTCAGAAGTGTGTAAAGTAAATCAGCAGTGATGTGGCCCGTTTAAATGCATATGTAACGCTAGGAGGTTTAATCCACGATGAGGCACACATATCTTTATTTTAAGTATATGGAAAAGGCGACTTACTGATCGTTTCATCTTCATTGCCTCTGACAGTTTCTGTACTTGCTCCTGGGCAATTTGATCACATTCGACTTTTATATCCTGAAAAGAAAAAAAATCATATTTTTGAGATATTACCCTTTGTTTTTTGTCATACTTTATATATATTTTTTTCATGTTTAATTTTGTTTTGGGGATAACTCAAGAAGTATATAATATAAGTATATAAGTGAATAATGTAAGTGAATAGAACTCATTGCGGAGGATAGCAATGCACAAGAATGATAACTACCCTTCATAATTTTTGAGTAACTGCCCTTTATTACTTTTCATACTAAATTTTTGTTCACAGCATAACTCGGAAAAACAATTTAGATATCAACTTGAAATTTAATAGGTGGATATGTCTTATTGTGTAAGAGTGAATTGCACGTAAATGATAACATTGCCGTTTTTTTATTTTTAGTTACTGCTTAAATTGTATCCACAACATAAAATGTATTTATGAATCCACCAGCGTAAGCTCTGATGGTTATATTTGACTTGAGGGGAACAACAAAAGTTACAGTTGAATTGAAAATTGTCATTTTAATGATACTATTATTATGGCTTGATATATCAACTTGAAATTTCTTAGGTTGACAGATCTTATGAAGGAAGAGTGCAGTGCACAAAATTATTAATAATGATTTTTGTGTTATGCCTTTTTTATTTTCCATACTCTATTTTTGCATAGACAAAAAAAAAATATAAAAAAATAACATCAGTTGAAGGATCTCATTAAAGAGTGAATTTTCAACAAGATCCGTCCGCAGACAGCGCATTCCATAGTTCATGGTATTGGATACTTGAAAAAAAGACAACATAGAAATCGGACATACTAATGCAAAAATCCGGTTGTGAAAAAAATCAAGGCGTTTAAAACTAATTGAATGACAAATAATCTGCAGCTCTGTCGTCAGCCATTATGGACCTTCAGGCCTTGATTATCCTTTCTAAGAAAATGGATCTTAACGAAAAAATAAACCAATGCATACGCCAACAGCAACCAGAGTGTCATAACAATAGTCCGAAAATTGGAGCTAAAATGATAACTATCAACTTGATTGTTTTTTTTAGTTATTACCCTTTGTTTATATTGTTTCATATTTTGGTCAGGATTATAAGTTTATTTGAGATATATACTTTAACTTTCATGATTTCATAGATCACACTTAAGAGGCGTGCATTGTGCCATTAATTTCAATGTTATTGGGGCAAAAACTCATACTTGCATCCATTTATAATGGTGATAAACCTTTGTTTTTGCAATAAAATTTATTTTGAAACAACATTATTTATTTATATCTTTCTTTGTCACACAATGTTATAATTTAAGGAGCACAATAAAAATAAGTTTACCTAACCTTTTTGTGTCTTCCTTAACATATAATATTGACAAATATATTTAAGCTATAGATATTTGTTAACTGTTTTGTGCATGCTTTAATATGTTACTTGCTATGTTAATGCACATTTTATGTTGAAATAATCTTCGTTTGTAATATCTTATTACGCGCTGCATGATCCAACCCTACTGATATGCGACAAAAGTCACAAAATGTAAAAAATCACTGTTATGTTGGTTTTTCTAATAGACATATTAACAATGATAAACATGTACCTGTAGCATTTGAAGAAGTTTTTCAATGGTTTCTTTTTCCGTCGCATACTTTGTTTGGAATACTTCAAAAGCATCTGTCCACTCATTATCATACAGCTCTGTGTTTTTCTCGGCAAGCTTCGTTGGTCTATTTTTATCGCTAAGATCTGCTATATCAGGGTTGTTATCTCCAAGCTTATTACCCATCATCCGACTTAGTCTACAATTAAGACGAACATCATTTACTAAATGTAGTTTCTATTGACCAAGACGTTAATACGTTTTAGTGTAATTCTGTAACAATGTAAGAAAATGTGAAGATCTCGCGTCTTTGTGTTTCATCTCTGTAAACATAATATTTTAAAGGAAATCCGCGTTAAAGCATAATATGCAAGTTCAAAGGTACAGTCAGTGTCATTTTTATTATTTATTGATACTTTATCAGTTCAATCGAATATAAATCTATGAAGACATTTCATTCGACATGGAATAAGAAAGGCTAGACTTCATGAAGTCGTGACAAGATTTTAATTAGGTTAATTTGAAATGTTAGCAAGTGAAAAAAGTTATAAAATATTCGATGCCAACACATTTTTTTTTCCTTTCTTGGGCAGATACGTAAGTAAGCTTGCGCAAGAAAGTAGAGGACATCGCAGTATGTACGTCAAGGAAACTTCTCTCCCTTTTCAATTTTCATGTGTTTTGGTCAATTGGTAAAGATGTTAAATTGAATTATCTATACAGATGTGGAACTGGAGATGAAAATTTTTCCCGGAAACCAAAATTTTGAAATGATCTATTACTTACATAAGAGCGCAGTAAACGATTGGTAAATATCTATATCATGTATAAATTTGCATTTCTTACCGCGATTTTGATTCAGATAATTCTTTTCCAATCTTAACCTTCTCGTCATATGCCGCTTGGTATCGATTTTGTAATGCAGACATTTGCTCCTTTACAGACTCACATTCTCTTGTAATTTTGTCTATGCTACGCTGATCTTCAGCCACTGTTTGCTCAATTCTTTTTATTTTTTCTTCCGCCTTTTGGTATTTTCGAATGACTTTAGAATTAACGTTTTTGTATTCTTCATTTTCTTGTTTGGCCTTCTGTAGTTCCTGTTCTAGAGCCTTAACGTTCTCATCGTTTCTGTTACTTGAGATTCGGTCGTGGTGACTCTTAAGGGTCTGATTTTCCATTCTCAACTTTTCAATCTCTTCTTTCAGTTTCAGAGTTTCGTCAGAAGACTAAAATAATATAACTATAACATAATAATTGTTTTAACATTGACAAAAATCATCGCCACTTTAACAGTTACAATATATATATACATGTGTATATGTATTTTGCTTGCCCAGAATGATTTACATGTTAAGTGATCACACATACTAGTACACAGTTTCACCTTAAAAAATGCAAATCTTTTGTAAAAATGCAAATTTTTCTTACCCTTGTTGACAATAACTGCTTCCATTCCCTCATTTCCTGTTTTGAGTTCTGGATAAGAGTCGGGAGACCCTCAAGTTTTAAGAATAGTTCTTCAATGTTTTTCATGGGCATTTTCTCCCGTCTTGTATCATCGGAAGAATCAACGTCCATCTCCTGCTCAGTTGTTTGCGACTGTCTACCGGCTTCTCTCCCATGACGTGCATTTGTGTTGTTGGTGTAACGTTGTCGTGAAGTAGGACTATACTGGTCGTCTGTTTCATACCAAGCTTGCCTTATGTTACTTGACGGCATATGCCCGTATCTATAAGAAATATATAGATCGACAGATTTGTAAATGAAAACAAGATTGCATTTGGGAAAAATGCTATGCCACCGCATGGTTCAAATTTCATAGCTGTGCATCAAAGGACAAGAAAGTAGGTCACATCATCAAAATCTAGGTCAAAGTTCAATTTTACAACTAAAACTGTGCACATGGTCAAAATTTCTTTGCTGTACATCAAAGGACAAGAAAGTAGGTCACTGTCTCCTTGGGCAAGGCATAATTTTGACCCAAGGGTTTAATAACAATCTTGATACAGGTCCACCAAACAACATTTCAAGTCAAATATCTAAGCTATAGCTTTCTCCCATTCAGAAAACATTTGTTTTATTTTCTGTTTTTAATATGTGAGAATCACTGCCCCCAAACAGTGCCAATTTTTGACATTTGAACAACTTTGGTACTAAGAGGACCTATAGATGATATTATATATCAAATATCAAAGCTCTATGCCTTGAACCTTCAGACAATTTTTTTTTTTCACTATGTGTACATAATAAAAATCAATGACCCCCAGGGCGGAACCAATTTTGACCCCAGGGCTATAATTTGAACAATCTTGCTAGAGGTTCACTACACAATGTTTCATGCAAAATATCTTAACTCTATCCTTTGTAAATTTAGAGAAGATGATTTTTTAAGTTTTAACTATATACATATAAGATAAACCTATGGCTCCCAGGGGAGGGGCTAATTTTGACACAAAAGGCAAAATTTGGACAACTTTTGTAGAGTACCTTTAGATGATATTATTTAACAAATATTAAAGCTCTAAGCCTTGTACCTTCAAACAATAATTTTTTTTTATTTTTTACTATATGTATATATTGAAATCAATGACCCCCAGGGCGGGGGCAATTTTGACCCCAGGGCTATAATATGAACAATCTTGCTAGGGGTTTACAACACAATGTTTCATGCAAGATATCTAACCTCTAGCATTTGTCAATTGCTAGAAGAATTTTTTAAGTTTTTACTATATACATATAAGGAAAACCAATGACCCCTGGGGCGGGGCCGATTTTGACCCCAGGGCTATAATTTGAACAATCTGGGTACAGGTCTACCAGACAATGCCTTATGCAAAATATCTAAGCTCTAGACCTTTTGGGTCTTTACAAGAAAGTGTTTTAAGTTTTTACTATATGTACATATAGCGAAAATCAATGACCCCGGGGCGGGGCCGATTTTGACCCAAGGGCTATAATTTGAACAATCTTGGTAAGGGTCTACCAGATGATGCCTTATGCAAAATATCTAAGCTCTAGGCCTTTTGGGTTTTTACAAGAAGGTATTTAAAGTTTTTACTATATGTACATAGTGAAAATCAATGACCCCCGGGGCGGGGCCAATTTTGACCCCAGGGCTAAAATTTGAACAATCTTGTTAGAGGTCTACCAGACAATGCCTTATGCAAAATATCTAAGCTCTAGGCCTTTTGGGTCTTTACAAGAAGATTTTTTAAATTTATTCTTATAATTCCTTTTGGTTGCCATGGCAACCAGATTTCTGCATGGAATGAAATTCTTTGAACAACTTTGGAAGCCCTTCATCCAAGGAACAATCCTGCCAAGTTTGGTTGAAATTGGACTAGTAGTTTTTCACAAGAAGATTTTTTAAGTTCACTATATAATCTATATAACACACACACACACCCACCCACACACACAAACACACACACAGGTGAATCGCTATATGCCACCGCATCGCAGATTGCGGTGGCATAAAAAGAAACATGGTGAGTAATCAAATCATGAAGAGTAAGAATTAATAATGGCAAGAATTTAAAGATCACACTACTTTATATAAATTTCGAATAAATGGCATGAAAAGTAATGCATATTTCGTAATTTGATACATTTTGATAAACAAGAAAATAAAGTAAACGTATACATGAAAAACACCATATTTTTGTGATACTTTTTGTACGATGGAGAGCTGATATTTTAGAGAAAATACGAAGTAGATATCATTCTTAAGACTTGCCGTCAATGTGACTTACTGGAACAATGAACACTAATACTATCATTATGATGACAAGAAATCATCTCAAGGGGCAAAACACTTCGACACAAATGTTTCCTTTTCCTTAGTATAAGGAAACAAGCTTAGTTTCTTCTCCGTCGGTATACAGAAAAATAAGAGTTTAAGTTATTGTCAGAGTCATTATGATGTACTTCATGTATAAGGTTATACAGACACCACGTAAAAGGGGCGTTCAATATATTCGTTGATTGTGCTTTTAACATATTTGTTAGGCAAACATAATTCATAAAAATTACATGACCGAAAACGGTAATTTAATATACATTTGTACATGAAATTTCAACTGCGTAAGACAAACTGTCTGTATTTGACGGCGCATAATGCAATGCCAACCGACTTTCAACACCCCAGGTTACGATGGTGTTTCCCGACGTCAGCGACGTCACTGGACTTTACTATTTCTGACGTGTCGTGCATCGCTCATTACTTCTCAAAGTAGCGTTACATTCATAACATCTCTGATGTCGATAAATCCACTGTTTAAATATGTTTTCTTAACACTCTTGAGGATACATTTTGATAATTTGTTTATTTTATGAAAATATTACAATTTATAATTCGGGAGTTTAAAACAACATAATTTGATTAGTGTAATTAAAAATGCAATATAATAAAATAATTTTATTAAAATAAAATAATAGAGAAATTAAAAAAGAATATAAAAGATCTATTAAGACCATTTTTTTTAAAGAACGGAATTTTCTGTTCTTTATGTCAATAGTTACATGCTCCAGAATTAAGACCACCCCGGTTATCCACTTTTAAGACCACCAAATTCAGTCCCAATTCTTTGATTTATTCTTTATTTGAACTCACTATTGAGACCACTGATTTTAAAGTCAACACCTACCAAGATCACATATTTGTTGTTATTATCTGCTTGAATGCTCTTAGGCATGACACTTGATTTAACAAGGTGTCAAAAACTGTCATTATAAGGTTATTGTATGAAATAAGGTGTGAAAGTAAATTTTACTGTGGTTCTTTTTTCCTTTCAGAACATTTATTTTGTAAAGAATTAATTTCTTATATGATAGGTGAAATATGTACATTATATAATAATTAATATTGTAATCAGACCAAAGATAATTTAATATCAAATTTATTCAGAAAAAAATGTTTTGCTAAAGCAGCATGCCTCCAGATTCATGCTAATTTTCATAAAATTTTTGAAAATGTATTTAAAAGTAAAATATTGTGAAGTGAACAAAGAAAATAATTTACACATTGCAAACAGCACTTACAATTCATGTAAATTACCAAAAAGAGATAATAATATACATCACAGGAATCCAAAACAAAAAATAACGATTTTAAGAAAATCCCATGAATATACTATAAAAAACCAGGAACCTGAAATTCTAAAAAAAAAAAAAAAAAATAACGACTAAAAAAAAAATCCCATATATATACTATAAAAAAACACAAGGAAGGCAACAACATTTCCCCAGCCACCGCTACATTTACTAGGAATATTCGTAAAAACGCCTGGAATTTACTTCTGAGCACACTTAATCAATAAAGCACATTAAAATATATCAGAAACACTGCGTTCTCTTATCAACTATCCAACTTTTACGCCAATTGAATGAATTTATCACTGCTTTTCTCCCATCGTCGGTTCCATTGCCAGTTCTAGCGATAAACTCTGTCATACCGTTAATGACCGGTCTTTGTAGATCCCGAAATTTTATCCAAAAGAAAAAAAGAACGATTTAAATAAAAATCCTATATATATAATAGTATATATAATATGGGGTTTTTATTTTAATCGTTCTTTTTTTCTTTTGGATAAAATTTCGGGATCTACAAAGACCGGTCATTAACGGTATGACAGAGTTTATCGCTAGAACTGGCAATGGAACCGACGATGGGAGAAAAGCAGTGATAAATTCATTCAATTGGCGTAAAAGTTGGATAGTTGATAAGAGAACGCAGTGTTTCTGATAGATTTTAATGTGCTTTATTGTTTAAGTGTGCTCGGAAGTAAATTCCAGGCTTTTTTACGAATATTCCTAGTAAATGTAGCGGTGGGTGGGGAAATGTTGTTTCCTTCCTAGTGTTTTTTTATAATATATTTATGGGATTTTTTTAAAATCGTTATTTTTTTGTTTTGGATAGAATTTCAGGTTCCTGTGTATACATAAATACCTCTTACTGCGTAAATAACGCAGTATAATTATAGTGATTGATACTGCAAAACCGGTCATTAATCCCACATTAATTAAATATTGAATACTTTTACTTTTCCTAAGATTTTAATACATTTTTCTAAAGATTTAATTCCTTGAAATATTTTGGCTAATCTGGAGGCGTGCAGCTTTAAGATACGTATTGTTTATTCATTCAGTATGACTAAAATAGACATGGTCATAAAGTATGTAAGCAATGATAAGAATATTCACAATTAAGAAACCTCGCAATAAAGACCACTTTGGTCCAGTCCCGATGGTGGTCTTAATTGAGGGTTTTTACTGTATTTGTTAATTTTTTATCAATCTAAAAAGTCCTCTTCCGCTTGATGAATAAATACAATAACTAACAAGTTGACAGACCGTTTCAAGTTATCTCAAATCTTCGGTCTTCAAATTTTATTTGGTAAGAAAATTCAACTATGAAATTGACATTCAGAATATTTTTAGCACCTTTTCTTTGATAATACCTAGAACTTGAGATTTTCAGGAAATACGGCGAAATTTAATACATATTATTTTTACTGTGTTTATACCTATTCTTTTACTACTGACCTTTTCTTTTCTTTTCTATAACGGCTAGAACTCGTGCATATATATTCAGTCCCATATATTAATTGCACGCCTACACAGTAGTTCGATTTGTGCTGTTGGGCACGTATTCAATAAAAATAATTTCAGCTGAAGTGATACTTTCTTCCTCAATACTCGCGTTTGAGTATTTTTTCTTATTATTGTACATATTGTATTTATATATAAATGTTTCATTCTAAAGATTTACAGGAAAAGCATTGATGCAAAGCATCAAAGGGCGTCCAAGCAAGAAATGCAGCAAGTGAAGATGAACTAGTAGACATCTGATGACCAGATATTCTTATAAACTTTTCAATGGTTAATTGGTTTTTACCAGCATTGCATATTATTTATAGATGGGCGGACGAAAGACGTTGTTAATCATGAACTTTAGTAGGCATTCTTGAGATTAGAATATTTAATGTTTGTTTTTTCCACAGGAACTTGAAATTCTATCAATATTAATGATGATTTCCAAAATATACAGGTCTATAATATCCAAAATATACCACCCCTATATGGTATAAGTTTATATATTATATATAGTGGGTTATTTTTGGATATTATCATTAATATTGGTTATTGGATAGAATTTCAAGTTCATGTGGTATTTTCTTTGGAACATACAAAATAGTAGTCTAAATGAACAAAGTCTGTTATTGATCTATTGGAAGGCCAATCTACTATTTAAATGAATTATTTTAAAAACCTCGTCTGACCCACCATTGTCTTTACATTCCTATCAATAAACCCATAACTCATGTATAAATTGCAGACGAAAGTTTCTGTAGTTAAAATGTCACAATATTCGGCAAATCAACATTCCACTCAAACTATCATAAAATCGATTGCCTTCAACTAAAACTACTTATATAAATGTATTTTCGGACTTTCACAATGTTATGCAGGCGTCATACTGTCCCGAAATTAATTGGCACCTGACGGACACGCGAAAAAGGAAATGTTCCAATTCGGATCTGATCGTTATAATTCGGGCCATTCGTGAGGGCATCTTGCGCCATCGTATGTCCCCGGCTAAATTTTTCAGGCTCCGGCAGCAACTTCGTGAGTGGTCCCAAAATGTTTGGCATGCCAAAAAAATGCCGGAAAACATTGCGAAGGTTCATTTTCGTATAACAATTTTGCGCTTCGTAAGGCCGTCGTGAAGCCATCTTGTCAAATCGTGTTGTTTTCGTCTTTATTTCGTGTGAACATCGATGCTATCTGTTATTTTTCACACCAAGAAGGCAATATGAAGGCAACAAGAAGATGACCGACCGTCTTAGGAAGGCAGCACGACTACGTGAAGTCCCCGCAATACCGTCGTGTTGCCATCGTATTTTGGTACGATGACATCGAGATGGGATCACAAGTTTGAGTGACTCAAATGTTGCATATGTATCATGGTGGACATATAAAAGGCTATCCTCAGACCATCTTCCTCATCTTTCAGTCCTGTACATCTCTATACAGAGACTTCAAAAGCGTACATTCTTTGCAATTAATTAACAATCGCTTTAGTTCATTTCCTGCAGAATGATGATGAGTCAAAAAAAAAAGAAAAAAAAAAGACAGCAGTATTGCTACTTTTTTATATACATTTTGTACCTTGAAAAACATAATGAGCAACTCTAACAGGTTCATCTTGGGTGGCATGATAAAGTTCAATCAAATCTAAAATAAAGTTTTAACGTAGTTTTGCTATCAATTCTATCAGCAACTGAAATTTGCCGCGTATTGCCGAATATTTTATACGACCCAGAGATCATATGACGCCTCTGTGACGTACTCAAAATACGGCGTCGTGCACCTATCGCGTGGCCTTCGCTTGTCCTACGGGTAAACTTATTGGTAAAAAAATGCACCTTTGAGGTGACTTCGAGTGTGGATCGGATGCCATCGCGTGACCTTCGGTAGGAATCGTGTATGGATAGGATACGATCGCGTGACTTTCTGTAGGAATCGTACTTGCTTCGGCTGTTGATTGGCTGTCGACCAATTTTGGGGCCATATTCGCGCGCGAAACTCAAAATTCCATATTCCTATGTCCATCTGGTGTCAATTTCGGGATAATGTGACGCCTGCATTAATGTCATAATTCTATTTATAGATACAGCAGTTACTTACATAATTACACACTGTGTACTACAAAATGTTTAATAAAAAACCGAAGAGCGCGATTAATTGACGGATAAGATAATTTCATTTGAATATGTTTGCATTGCAGAAATTCTCCAGTTCAGTATTCATTGTACATATCGCAACATTTTATTTACCCTCATACCAATCGGAATGATCGGCTATTATGACCGACGCAAATGCCCGAGAAGTTGCAATTGCCTTTTCTTATTCCATGAAGGGCGTCGCGCTTCGTACGGACGCCAAAAATAACATAAATCGTCTCTCTGATATAAAACTAGCGACTTGTTATAAACATTCCTGCGTTATATCAGATCAATGGAATTCTATACCTCACACAGTAAAATACCATACAGGTAAAATACCATACCTTAACCTACCTTACTGCACAGATTACGACGTAATTATGTGTATAGTTACATTTGGCTTATTCACAAATATTAGACCGCATTTAAAGCAACAACAACAACAACAACTATAAAAACTTAAGGTATTAATAGCATTCCGTCATTAACTTTTTTAATCTAAACTACATCATAATTTAATATCTCGCTTAATTAAATATCATTGGAGTTTAAAGCAAACGTTTCACAACACTTCTGTCTTAGATCAGGCGTATCCAATGTTTTAGTTTATGCAGAACTTACATATATTTTATTTCCATTTTGTAGGCGGCTAGAGATCGTTCAACTACTAGTCCGACGCATTAACATTACAATACAATACAATACAATAAATACAATACAATATATTGTGGCAATTAGTAATGTCTATGATGCTCTTTATCATGTAATAAATACTATTTAAAAACAATACCTACCCTCCTGGCGATCTATGACCCGCCATCGTTTGTCCTTTGTAAACAATTACTAAAAGACGGGGATGAAACTGCCGCAATTTAGTATTCCTGTTCCAACAAGATTTTCATATCTTTGCCAACCTATAACTAAAATAAGGAAGTAGAATAACAAACGCTTGATATCTCCAGTCGTAAAATTCAAGAGTGTTTACCTGAGTATTTTAACTACCCATTAGTCAGTCAGTCAAGAGAAATTAAAGTTAAACTAAAAGGCGCATTGCAAATGTATTCGGGTATTCCTTTCTAGGAAAATGATTTAACTTCCTTGTCAGACAATTGTTAACACAAGTATGTGGTTCAATACACATCCTATAGAGCGGAAAGTAATTTCGGCCTTACACTTATGTGCTTGATTATGCGGTGGGAAAAACGTAAACAGAATTTGAAATTTAGTGATCAAAAGCAATTAATTTAAGTAAGGGTAGCATCTGAATCACAGAGATACACTTTGATTACATGTTTTTCACATTCACTACTATCATAAAAAAAATCTCTCCACATTTAAAATCCCTATTGATTTGCTCAATTGAAAAACAGTTCTCTTTTTTTTTCTGTGTGTCAATTTAGATTTACAAGTGGAGGGGGTCCATTTACATTAAGTTTTCCAGCCAAAAAAATGTAAACATTGTATTCTAAATATCAAGATTGTTAATATCAAAGAAAATAATGTTTTGGTTACCTTTTTCTAGAAAATATTAAGTTTAAAACAGTCAGCAATTTATAACAGACATTTTTCTTACAGTTAAAAGGATATAAAAAGTTACTATGTTATCATTTGTCTCTGCGTGCCCCACACGTATTATCTTTGTAATAAATTTGATTGTATCCTGACATTTAGAAACACCTGACATGGCCTAATTTTTTTTACGTTGGCATTGTTTTGAAGCCAAATTCCACCTAACCTAGAAATTTTACAATTCAAAGTGCAAACCACACCTCTATCTCCCCTTAATATAATGCATTGTTGAAATTAGTTAGACTGGTTAGACGACTGATTAAGTTATTTTTTATTTAGTTAGTACACATTTACCAAAGTTAGACTTAGCAGAAATTTGAAAAAAAATACAATGTGATTTGGACAAAAAATAATGCTGATCATTAATAAGACTGCTACATTACGCCGTCCCAATACCGTATTAAACAGTAAACTTCAAATTTGAAATACGAGTAAGGTTTAGAAGTCATTGGTCTTCAATGTGCAAGTGTTGTTTACATACATGTGATAGACGACTTGCAATAAATCTCCTTTTTATTTATTTTAATAAAAAGAAACAAAATTTACCTGTGATATAAGCTCTATTCAAACCGAAAGTAAAACGAGTGGATTTCCCTTCCAATAATCGAAAACGAGGCAAGAGAGGGAAATTAGGCCAAGTAGGTTTATCTTCATTATTTGTGCAAATTATTGATAATTTATGTCAGCTTATGACAAAAAGCATACATTTTTGACTCTGTTAAGTAATATATGTACAAATATATGGCAATTTTCTTTATTGGTACATTAGTTAGTGTTACTCTTAAATGCGACATGTTCGGATATGTCATACTGTTCGGCCAATGGACAAAATATAGTCATGCAAACACAAATATATCTACATCCATAACAAGTTACACACACCAAAAATAAATGTAAAAACTTGATTGGATTGGATGAAGAATTTTGTGTGAGTTATGCGTATTGATGATATGAATAGCACGGGATGACTTATCGTAACATGCTTTTGTTTGCATATTTTTAAACCGAAAGTAGGACGGAACGGAAGTAAAAATATATAATTAAATCATGAAATGTAGAAAAATGTTGTTTTTTATAAATAATTTTATCGCCCATTTGATGTAGTCTGATTTATTTTACTTTAATTTTACTGCCTTTAGACATAATTATGCAGTATTTCATAATTTGATACAAAATTGCACATGTCTGGATCTGTTAACTTTACAAGGTCGTATCCACAGAGGGTTGTAGATGGCAGTTGTCACCTCAACTTCTGTAACTAAAATATTGTTAGAAATAAAAGACAAGACTATGCATGCTAGTTTGTATCGATATCAATTTGAACAGTCTGTGTTAAATGAAAAATCAACGATGTGTAAGGCAATAAAGTATCAAAGTTGATACGTGTATGCTACCACATTTAAGTATGTATATATGTATATAATTATTCTTCTAAAACAGTTTCCAAACATCCAAGATTATGTTTAATTTGTACTGCAAACGTTTTTCTGCATTATAAGTAATCATTAAAGTATATGCATTCATTTCTAATTAAGAAGAAGTTATCGAAAATGAATTTCTAATAAAAAAAATTACCTCTTTTATTTACATGGAAATGTAAATTCGGTGATATCTTTGCAAATAATGCTTTTTGGAACTTAAAATATTGATATATCTTCATTTGAGCATCATATTTATGATATAAAACCATGAAATATTGAGTTACAGGATCTTTAATTGTACTGGATCAACTTAAATTTATCTTGTATCATAGTTTGGGGACCTTTCTGTTGAAAATATGTCAGAGTTAAATCGTATACACATATACAATGTACATGCACACACAGGCACGAGTATCGGACCTTGGATGAAAAAATATGACCAGATTGATAATAAAACCTGTGTTCATCTTAAAAGTGTCAAAAACCAAAAAAAAAAAAAAAAATGTAAATAATGACCCCCTTTAAAATATACTATAAGTTAAGAGAAGGCCGGAAACTCCAGATTCGAGCCTACGAGCAAGGGATTCATTTCCCGAGCCGTTGTGAAAACAATTGGCCAGACAATTAAAAACGACTTTTATCACTATTTCACGTTTGTATTAAGCTTCCAAATGAGACCGACCCCAAGTCTCTAGCCCTTCCCGTTCATGAAATATCTATCGGGAAACGAGCGAATTCGTGCTAAAAATCCTTGGTAGACAGAATTGCGGCACAACGATTCGGTACGTAAACATAGACTAATACATGTTTGTCAGCTGAGTACGGGTCAAAATCACTTGAATTTACTAAATAATATTACTAAATACATTAAGTTGGACCACTCACAACCGTCAGTAGCATCTGATACACACGAGATTCGAGTTTCAAACATTTACACGGTCTTTCAATCGCTTTCTACGCCATTATGCATCCTTGTGTGAAACGTTGCGCTTTCGTTGCTATTGGCCAATCAGAAGACTCGTTACAAAATATCGAACAGCTGATTGACAATGGCGTTGAAAGGAATCTAAATACCGTGGAAAGGTTTGAAATTCGAATTTTACGTGTATCAGATGCTACTGACGGGTGTGAGTGGTCCAACTTAATGTATTTAGTAATATTATTTAGTAAATTCAAGTGATTTTGACCCATACTCAGCTGACAAACATGTCTTAGTCTATGTTTACGTATCGAATTGTTGTGCCGCAATTCTGTCTACCAAGGATTTTTAGCACGAATTCGCTCGTTTCCTGATAGATATTTCATGAACGGGAAGGGCTAGAGACTTGGGGTCGGTCTCATTTGGAAGCTTAATACAAACGTGAAATAGTGATAAAAGTCTTTTTTAATTGTCCGGCCAATTGTTTTCACAACGGCTCGGGAAATGAATCCCTTGCTCGTAGGCTCGAATCTGGAGTTTCCGGCCTTCTCTTAACTTATAGTATATTTTAAAGGGGGTCATTTTTTACATTTTTTTTGGTTTTTGACACTTTTAAGATGAACACAGGTTTTATTATCAATCTGGTCATATTTTTTCATCCCAGGTCCGATACTCGTGCCTGTGCATGCACAGTGCGTTAACTGGAGTATTAGTTGCCCATTGATTGGCTCATTTTTGCTGGGGTTCACTTATTGTGACGGCAGAGAAAGCGATAGAGATATCATATTCAGATGCTTGTTCATTTGTTCCTTTTTCTGGGGGTGTCATTTTCTGACAACAGGGAACGTGTTTTTATGTTTTGACTACTAAACAGATAGAATATCAAATCATTTGGGAATCTAATTTATACTCGGGGGCTACGCCCCGTCGTACAAATCAGATAGCCCCGTGTTTTGATGCTCTTTCTATTACATAAGCCATGCGGTTGGAGATACTTACAAACGAACACTTGAAAATATTGCAGTTTATTTAAAATATGTATACATATTCACGTTGTGTACCATGCTGCGTTGGAGAAACATAATATTTTTTTTAAAGATTATTATTTAAATATGACCGTTCCCCCACCCCCGTAACTAAATTGTATATATATATTTTGCCGATTGTAAATGACTGGTGCTAGCTTAAGCTTCCTTGCATGTTACTCTAACAAATTTTCAACAGTTCTAAAAACTTAAGAAACTTATGAAAGCATGAATCTGGAGGTAGGCTCCTTTATAGTCAATTAATCATACAAAGATTTCGTCCTAAAGTTTATAAAAATATTTCGTTGAAATCGGTTTGAAATGGAAGGTTAACATTTTCATGCCTTGTAGGCACATGACGTACCCCTTTCAATTCTTGTTATATCACATATTTATATAATTAAAAGTTTGTTTAGCAAGCGGAACGCCGAGAACTGTTTATAAAACTTGCACATGTTTTATTTGATCAAGTTAAATATTTGATAAGTTTTTATTTTGTTTAAGTTAAACTATTTACACTCCTATTTCTGTTACGGGTTTCTTCACACAAAAGAATAATTTAACTTAAAACAAAGAAATCTTGTTAATTAATAAATTGAAATCATACCAAGTCGCATACAATATGAAAATATCATACGTAGCAGTATCCCTGCAAGACATAATAAATTATAATCATTTTTAAAATTGAAACTGACATACATTTGACATGTATGTATATTTTCAATCGTATTCAACTTATACGTAAGTGCATTGTTCTTCTTTATACTCAAATTTACAAATTGTCTCAATGTATATTCTGCAGACACTAGACCATCTACAAACAAAAAGTGAAATGGCGAATACCACTCTTGGTAGCGAGAAGAAGGCGAAAATGTTGGTTGCTGCCATAGATTTTGGTACGACCTACAGCGGGTACGCCTTCTCCCTTAAACACGAGTACCAGGCTGACCCAGGTAAAGTCTCTGTCAACCAGAACTGGGTGGCTGGTTCCATGGCTTTGGTGTCTCTTAAAGCGCCAACGGCAGTTCTTTTTAATGAGAAGAAAGAGTTCGAGAGTTTTGGGTACGAAGCGGAGAATATGTTCTCGGAGTATGCTTTAGACGGGGAGGACAGAAATCACTATTTCTTCAACAGATTCAAGATGAAGCTACATGAAAAGAAGGTAAATTCAGTTCCTAGAAGTCTGACTGATCGGCTTGTGGTTTATTATTTATCTTTAAAAGCAGTGTTTTCATGGTATTTTGATTTTTTTCAAATAATTTATTATTTCGAGAATTCAGGTTTTTTTTCTTTTTCAGGAGATATTAGCGAACTATTTACGTCTTTGAAAAAAATGCGAAACCATCTTTGTAAAATATATAATCAGATTAATGACTTATGTTAATTTGCATATTATGAAAGAACATTTTACAAAAAGTATAATTAAATGTAAATATATAGATCAGCCGAGATTTTGAGCTGTCGGATGCGCATGGACGGAAGATGCCTGCTATGAAAGTGTTTGGAGAGGTTATCACGTATCTTAAAAGTCATTTGTTAGGGGCATTGAAGAAGCGGGGTACCATGGTAGATAATAAAGACATTCACTGGGTGTTGACAGTGCCGGCTATCTGGGCAGATTTCGCGAAACAGTTCATGAGAGAGTCTGCTTACAGTGTACGTATACTATTACAATAAAACAAAAAGTGTACGTATACTATTACAATAAAACAAAAATTCGTTATAATTTTATTCCCCATCCTAAAAATGTATCCTGACGGCTAAATCGTAGAGTCTCCTTGTATACCAGTCTTTATTCAAAAGATAACTTACTTTATCGCCTGCCTAGTGATTTATGTACTTACATTACTACAGGATTTGTATCTCATGAACCTATATTTAAGTATTACTTAATATGAGCCGCATCACGACAAAACCAACATAATGGGTTTGCGACCAGCATGGATCCAGTACAGCCTGCGCATCCGCGCAGTCTGATCAGGATCCATGCTGTTCGCTATCAGTTTGTCTTCTTGTTATAGGGTTTGTTAGCGAACAGCATGGATCCTGATCAGACTGCGCGGATGCGCAGGCTGGTCTGGATCCATGCTGGTCGCAAACGCACTATGTTGGTTTTGTCGTGACGCGGCTCATATAATCTGTGGATAAAAATTCATGCTTGGGTATATACAGTTTTGAAACGTTCGTGCTAAATATAGCAAAACATGTAGGGAAGTAGTTATTGCTTTAGATACGCACCATGACATACTTAACGGTGGAAGGGAAATAAATGTGCTGATGTTTTTCACTAAAATCACAAGAGTTTACAACTTGTAGAAGAACAGTTTAATGTTACAGATTCTTAGGATTGTTAAAACTCCTGCTGTCACATCTTATGGCAATAATAAAGATTCTTTCTTAATTTTGCCATGATTTTAAGAACTGTGTAAAACAAAGGCACGTTCATTTTCAGCAACATCAAATTCTTTGTAAGTCAAGTATCTAATAACAGGTATCATCTAACACCCGCTTACCTTCAGAAAAAGTAAAAGTTACCAGTATATAGAGTCAGACCGGCTTACACAGCTGAATTAGAATTTCCATCTAGATGTTCCCAAATTTGATCATGGTCAAACCGGAAATGATCATTGCCAAACCGAAAAAAGGAAGCTGGGGCAAGTCCATAAAATATTTTCATTATGTTAGTGGTGAAAATTAGTAGGAAATAGCTGTGTGTCTACAAAATATTGATCTCAGTAATGTAAAAAATATCAGGTAATTGAAGTTCTGTTTTGTATACAAATAAACAATACTGATAAGTGACCATATTAATACAGCGTTGGAATGCTCCTAGAATGAAGGCAAGGGTGTTACTTCATAATAGTTTGAGCAGCGTTACGACAAAACCAACATAATGGGTTTGCGACCAGCATGGCTCCAGACCAACCTGTGCCTCAGCGCAGTCTGATCAGGATCCATGCTGTTCGGTATAGGTTTCTCTACTTGTTTTAGGGTTTGTAAGCGATCAGCATGGATCCTGATCAGACTGCGCGGAGGCGCTGGCTGGTCTGGATCCATGCTGGTCGCAAACCCATTATTTGCCGGGTTGCACTGGTGCAAACCCGGGTTATAGTATGGTGAATGTTGGGCGGCGGGCGGGGAAAAAACTTTCGTAACAGTTTTCTCAACAACTACTTATCACAGCCTTTTGATATTTGGTATACAGCATCAACACATGGTCCCATACTGTGGGATTTGATTTCAGGTCTGTCAATCATCTACTTCCTGTTTGCCGACTTAGTTAAATTTTCAACATTATTGGTCAATTGTAGGAAATTTTCGTAACAGTTTTCTCAGCAACTACTTATCACAGCCTCTTGATATTTGGTATACAGCATCAACACATGGTCCCATACTGTGGGATTCGATTTCAGGTCTGTCGCTCATCCACTTCCTGTTTGCCGACTTAGTCAAATTTTAACATTAATGGTCAATAGTAGGAAATTTTCGTAACAGTTTTCTCAGCAACTACTTATCACAGCCTCTTGATATTTGGTATACAGAATCAACACATGGTCCCATACTGTGGAATTCGATTTCAGGTCTGTCGCTTATCCACTTCTGTTTGCCGACTTAGTCAAATTTTCTACATTAATGGTCAATAGTAAGAAATTTTCGTAACAGTTTTCTCAGCAACTACTTATCACAGCCTCGTGATATTTGGCACATGGCATTAACATATGGTCCCATACCGTGGGAGATGATTTCAGGTCTGTCGCTCATCCACTTCCTGTTTGCCGACTTAGTTAAATTTTCAACATTAATGGTCAATAGTAAGAAATTTTCGTAACAGTTTTCTCAGCAACTACTTATCACAGCCTTTTGATATTTGGTATACAGCATCAGCACATGGTATCATATCGTGGGATTCGATTTCAGGTCTGTCGCTCATCCACTTCCTGTTTGCCGACTTAGTTAAATTTTCTACATTAATGGTCAATAGTAAGAAATTTTCGTAACAGTTTTCTTGGCAACTACTTATCACAGCCTTTTGATATTTGGTATACAGCATCATACTGTTGGATTCGATTTCAGGTCTGTCTCTCATCCACTTCCTGTTTGCCGACTTAGTTAAATTTCCAACATTAAATTTTGACATAATTAATGATCAATACTGAATAGATAGTAGGAAATTTTCGTAACAGTTTTCTCAGCAACTACTTACCACAGCCTTTTGATATGTGGTTCACAGCATTGACATGACTGTGGTCCCACATTGTGGGATTCCATTTCAGGTCTGATGCTCATTCTTTTCCGGTTTACCAACTTAATTAAATTTTCAACATCAATGGTCAGACAGTGGTAGAAAATTTAAGTAACATCACAGCCTCATGATATTTTGTATACATATGCAACCCGGCCTTTTCTGTCTTAGACCCATTTTGTTGGTTTTGTCATGGCGCGGATCAATTATTATATTTATGCTATATTGGCCGGGGCTTAGAAGGTGACAAAAATGAAAATGCCAAATTGAGTACAATTAGACAATCATGGTGGTAAAATAGATACAGAAATAAGATATTTTTGTGAAGTTAGCAATAGTTAGTACAAAATCTGGGACAGAATGTGTTGTTATTCTGTCCCAGACAAAATGCGTAGAAGAATATTAATCATTTCTACTTGAAATTATTTTACCACCCTCCCCACCCAAAAATTTGGCCATAACATTTATCTAAACCAAACTATGTACCTGGTACGGGCGCACTAGATACACCACACATGAAAGTTAAAATGCTTTGTTAATGGCAGCGACAGTTAAGTGAAATTTCATATGCTCAGTCTGTATTTTATTTTAGGCGATTATTTTCGCTTTCTATAACTTCTATATTCAATCAGCCAGGCCCTCAACAACACTCCGCTGTAATGTGCCAGTACTCGGATGTAAATTTTGGATGTAAAGTTTGGATTATTCGTCATGTTTGATGTTATTTATATTGTAGGCAGCCATTGATGGAAGTCACCTATCTATAGCTCTAGAACCAGAAGCTGCATCTCTATATTGTCAACTTATACCCACTGACAAGATCCACGGGTCCGAGGGGGCATCATTCAGCGTCGGCAGTCCAGGTTCAAAATACATGGTCATTGATTTAGGAGGTAATGCCACATTTTACAGTTAATAATGACTAATTTACTTTTTTAACATGTTTATTACATGACTGCCAATTACAAAAGACATGTATATTTTAAAATCAACGTGACATATTCGCTCTGTAATGATCTTATTGTGTAAACCACATTTAACTGTAATTTGAGTCCAAATTAGATTTTATCACAATAGTTTTAAGTTTATTCTTTGTGGTTTATTCATAGTACATTGGTTTTTCACCTATTGTTAACATAAAGGATATAGAGACTATCGGACTTAAGTTTTTATTTCCCTTATCATGTTTTAGATGATCACTCAAGAAAAACTTCAAGGGCGAAATTTTTCATACGCTTATATGATTGTTTAGAATAATTCTAATGCAGAATTTGAGGAATAGTAATTTAAGAAAACCTCTTTTTTTAAACCAACAAGCTTAGACATTTTTAATTATTAAAATCCGTTCAATATTTAAATGTGTAATTACCTCCCTTTGACTGTTGACATAATAAGTGCAACATATCACATAAAGTCCAAGGGAAACAACAAGTTACAAACACAATTTGTTCTCTGACTACATCAGAATATTAACCCTTAACATGCTGAAGTTCCTACATTACTTGTCCATCTTCAATTTGACGCTGATTACCAATTTTAGGGAAATGAAGTAACTTTTAGTGGTCAATATTATAGAGCCTAGTTAGACTTTACAGAAATTTAGGCTTGTTTGGCTGCATACTGTTGACAAAAGCTAGGGAATCCATTTTTGGTCCCAGCAGAGTAAGAGTCAAAGCAATTTCTTCAAATTAAAAAATAAGATCTTTCCTGGTATTAAGTTGATTCATACTTGTTACCTGAACAGTATTTGTTTTCATTGTGTAGCTTATTAAAAAATTTTCTTTATGGTGCCTTAATGTTGAACTGTTCGAATAGACTGTAGCCTTGGATACATAAAATTGGCAGCAAAAACAATTTGAGCCGCGCCATGACAAAACCAACGTAATGCGTTTGCGACCAGCATGGATCCAGACCAGCTTGCGCATCTGCGCAGTCTGATCAGAATCCATGCTGTTCGCTATCAGTTTCTCTACTTGATATAGGGTTTGTAAGAAAACAGTATGGATCCTGATCAGACTGTGCGGATGCGCAGGCTGGTCTGGATCCATGCTGGTCGCAAACGCATTACGTTGGTTTTGTCATGGCGCGGCTCATTTGTCTTTGGTGCGAAACAATGGGATTATATCACATTTTGTTATTCTTTTGAATTTGCAAAGTCAATAAAAGGGATCATTGACCGTTTGTACATTAAATATTTTTAAAAATGTATTTTTCTATAATCAACATGTTCTAATTGTTACAGTAATTCATTACATGTTTATATCTACTGTCCCACACAAAACGGGTCTTAAACATCAACATATCTGTTTATAGTTATTAAATATGCATGGAAGTAAAATATGCAATTTCCATGAGATAACTGTTACCTAAAGGTTGTTATGTTTCACTTGACACAGATATAAACACCCCCATTATCACACCGTGAACATGTTGCGAGTAGGACAGGTTGATGCAGTTAGAATTTACTATAAAAATGTCAGTTTTTAAACCGAATTATCCAAGATACATTATTTACCTATCGACATAAAATTCTAAGATATATTGTGCAGCAGTCGATTGCAGGATAAAAAAACTTACCAAGCGCACACTTGTTTCTACCCGCAACCAACTGATTTACTTGTAACCAGTTAATGGGTGTGCTTATAATTTAAGTCAATATTTACAAAATAAAACTTAGAATGGTTTAAAATTACAAATGGATAAACATTGCAAATTCTTTACTTTATAGATGTTCTTGTCGACAAGACATGTATTACTCATCTAGTTTCATATAGATATTATCTTTTGATGACATTTTATTTATAAAAAAAACAACAAAGAGCGCCCAAACTACAATGCGTGGGATAGTAGCTTTAATAATAAAATATTTTACATCTTAATCATTGGCGTGTACTAATTGTTACAGTTACACATATTTGTATTGTTAGAGCAGCTAACTTTCATATGTGTGTGTTACAGGTGGGACTGCAGATATCACCGTACATGAGCGTCAAGCAGATGGAGGGCTCAAAGAAATACATAAAGCCAGTGGCGGGGCGTGGGGTGGTACCAAGGTTGATGAGGAATTTGACCGATTAATTGTTAGAATAATTAAAGACCGGGCTTTCAAACTTTTCTGTGATGAACATTCGGGCGATCGTCTAGATTTACAGCGAGAAATGGAAATGAAAAAGCGTATTATTTCCCCGGCATCAAAGGGAAAAATCACGCTCAAAGTGCCCGTTGCGCTTGCGGAATGTTATAAGAAGATCAACACTAGCACAATTGAGAAGGCTATAGAAAATTCTCCTTATAAAGGGAAAATAACATGGCTTCCTGACAAAATAAGAATTGAAGCTGATGTCTTTAAGGCACTGTTTAAACCATGTATAGAAAATATAGTTAAACATATTAAGGATCTACTGAAGTTTCCAGAACTGAGAGATACAAACACATTCCTGATGGTGGGCGGATTTTCGGAGTCCGAGATGGTTCAAGATGCTGTAATGAAGGCTTTACCAGGCAAGAATGTAATTATACCAGACGAGGCAGGTCTGTCAGTGTTGAAGGGAGCAGTTATATTTGGCCATCGTCCTGTAGCGATTACGTCACGAAAATCTAAATATACATATGGCATCAATATATCTCCCCCGTTCGACCCTGATAGACATCCAGAGTCGCGAAGGGTTGCCGTAGGAAATACTGATCGCTGCCGTGATGTGTTTAAAAAGTATATACAAGAAGGAGACACAGTTATGGTAGGTGAGCCGCGGTCTGGGAAACATATCACGCTGTCTGCTCACCAGAGAGAAATGCAGTTGAACATCTATGCGTCGACAAAGCGGGAACCACAGTTTGTTGATGAGGAAGAATCGGAATACCTTGGGCGAGTAGTTGTACAGTTACCGGATAGCGATGATAAAATTCGGGTAGAAGTAACAATGATGTTTGGTGAAACAGAATTGACAGTTGAAGCACAAGAGTTATCCACTTTAAAGAAGTATACCTCGTATTTTGATTTCCTATAGGTATACACGTGAGTTTGGACAGTTATAAACCAAACGATTCACATAATTTTCATTAGATTTTTAATGAATATGAATTATTTAAATGGGTGAAATTCTTCACACCGATGAATCATTAAATCACTTTAATAACTTTAATAAAACAATGACTTATCTGAAGTTAAATAAGTGTAAATCTTGCAAACCTGTAAACCTGATTACTCTTCTTAAGATTTATATAACTATAATGTATATAGGAAAAATGAAAAAAATAAATTTTTGAATGACAGAAATCACTGAATGAAAAGTTTATTGTCGACCTGTTTCAGTGATTATCGGTATTACTGTGGTTGCCCTGTATCAGGGTTGATCAGTCTTATTGTGGTTATCCAGTATCAGTGATGATTAGCGTGATTGTGGTTACCCAGTATCAGTGGTGATTAGTGTGATTGTGGTCGCGTTGCATCAGTGATGATTAGCGTGATTGTGGTTACCCAGTATCAGTGGTGATTAGTGTGATAGTGGTTGCCCAGTATCAGTGATGTTTGATGTGGTTGTCCCGCTTAGTGTGATTGTGGCCGACCTGCCTCAGTGATGATTAGTGTGATTGTGGTCGACCTGCATTAGTGATGATTAGCGTGATTGTGGTCGACCTGCATTAGTGATGATTAGCGTGATTGTGGTCGACCTGCATTAGTGATGATTAGCGTGATTGTGGTCGACCTGCATTAGTGATGATTAGTGTGATTGTGGTCAACCTGTATCGGTGATGATTAGTGTGATTGTGATCATCTTTTATCAGTGATGAATAGCGTGATTGTGGTCGAACTGTATCGGTGATGATGAGCGTGATTGTGGTTGCCCAGTATAAGCGATGATAATCCGAATACTTATTTATATATAAACGTGTTGGAAATACATCGCAGCATCGTATACTATCATAAAACCCCACGCATATATTCCCTTTATAATCAATTCAAAAATCTTTCTTTCAAAAGTTTCTATGAGATTGCTGGTTTGATTTAAAGTACAAAATTCGTTTCGAACCTTGATTTTGTGATGTCCAGCCTGTATCAGCCGAAAGTTGCTTCATACGTAAATACGCTTTTGGCCGTTAGCTTTTTGGCCATGTAAGAATTTTCATTTTCAATGGGAATTGAGACAGATTTGTTTGCAATTCTTACCATCAAAACATAGAAGTAAGCACTGAGTATATTTACACTGTCAGTAAGTAAACCGAATATTCAGAAGTGAGAACATGGGGATTTTTGTAGGGTTTTACGCCGCATCAACACACTATATGGCTTTACTGGTGGGGAAGACCTAAGGTGCCCTTCCGCGCATATTTCAGGCACGAACGGTCACCTGAGAAGAACCGCCGACGTTCCGTCCTCGTATTTAAGAATCCAAAGTCCATGTCGGGATTCGAACCCACAGCGGTGAGTACATTGAATAACTAGATGTACATCAAATATGTTTGAAGTGTTACATTGAATGCCTAATAATTTGTACATAGAATGTTTAAAAGTGTGTACGACATTATATGTCCTAAATAATTGAATGCCTATAAATTAAATAATTAGAAATCTTCTTAATTTTGGTATCTTGTTACAGTTTCAACATGTTACTAATTTGCCATTTATATGAACTGTATTTTTGCTTTGTTGGCAATGGGTATGATTATAGTAATACTACTTTGTTTACATTTTGCTACCTTCTCGACACATTTCTGCACATTCAATGCTCCTTTCCAGATTGGTTAAACATCTTACATGCTCCTAATCCATTATTAAAACATAGTTAAACACATGTTTGAATTTTCTGAAGAATAAGAAATATATGGATTTCTGAGGCATAATTTGCACAATATGCACATCATAAATTCTAGGGATTTTATTGAACAAATGATAGTTAAAATCTCATTAGATGTGTATGTAAACTAAAACATGTCAATGTCAATAACAGGAAAAAATATTATAAGATACAAAATACAGCACTAAATAATTGCAGAAATCATGCAAACATCTTTTAACATATAAAAAACATGTATACATGCCGTGTACCGGCGTATGTATATGTTTGCATTATTGTATATCCGGGTTTATGTTTATATCGTCATAATGTTTCATGTTTTTTGCATTCACTGAGGAAAATATCGTTTGTAACATAGCCGGGTGATTCAAAACCGTGTCGTTCAGAATAACAGTAGTTTGCTAGTGTTTTAGAATTAAAAACAGCTGGCACTGACAGCGACCGCCGTGGTGTGGTATCATGTAAATTTTGTAAATATTTCTTAAAGTGGTCAACGGAGTACTTTAACTTTTTAAAGGGTTCAATTTCTTCAAAACTTTCACCATACTTGCTATCGATCGAAGTAAAATATGTATAATCTGGACTGCTATTTTGACTGCCTGGTACTAAATTAAAACTGTTAGGTAATCTTTGGTCGGCATTGTCTATCACTTGTGACAACGGAATTGAGGAAAGTTCATACATTCCAGTCGTATCTAAGGATGAGTATCTAGACGGAAAATGTTGTCTTAAACATACAAAACCAATTAAAATAATCACTAGTGCACCAAGAACGGTTCCAGATACACTCATAATCATAGTTAAGGAAATAGACTTCTTCGGAATTTCTTCGTTTACATGTACAATCTCGTCACTTGAAACATCTGTTATAAAATACAGAAAATCATGTATACATAACAACACTTTTATACTGTTTGTGTTCTCCTTTAAATATTTAGGATAAAAATTTATGATATTTCCAGGTGTTCAAGATTGAATGATAACTATAGTGACAAAACATATTTCATCATTCAAACTTGTATCAGAGGGTTTTCAGAACAATAAATCGATGTTGGATTCTTTTCTTTCAATTTCATTTTCATGCAGAAATGTCAGAAAAAAAATCATACTTATTTCTATCAGAATTATTTCACTAACTAGACATGACTGTATTTGTTGCTAAAATCATACATATTTTGTATTTAGAAAACGTGCATGACGATAAATCAAAATAAAAGTCTGTCCATCTCTAAAAAGCACAATTATTACAATAAAGCGTCATATTACATATTAAGATTACCTTCTATTCCATAAGCATTTGAAAAACGCATCGTTGTACTCCCGGGCCAACATATGTCGGGATTATCGAAGCCTCGTTTATCCCGGCATTCCGGAACTACAAATCTCTGTAACTCGAGGGGACAATGCGAACACAAGAGACAACTTCCGGTTGATGAAACACGGAAATAGTCTAAAAGACAGAAAAATATAGTGATAAAGTATAATTGTGGTAATAATTGAACGAAAATTCTCTAAATGCATCATTTAATCTTTGTTGAAAGGATATACTTCAAAGAACTAGACAAACGATCCCGGGGAGTAAATATTTGTGTTATGAATGCATTCTTTTGATCTAGGTATGAATGCAATGCTGCGCAAAAAAAAATGTAAAATTTGCGTAGTTCAGGATAATAATATTTTTTTCAGACCTTTTTCGCAATCCCCACAAACGGTATCTGCAGCGCTATTACACTTTAGCAGTCTTTCTTCATTTCTCCTGCATGTTTTGCAAGGTATACACAAAGCAGAATTAGAACTGACCGAGAACATGTTCCTTGGACATGGGCGACATAATGAGTTCCGTTTCACTGAACATTTTCGCCTTATATATTCCCCGGGTTTACAATCGGAACATGGTTTACATCTACTTCCGCCTACGTCATTATACCATCCGGAAGAACATTGCCCACACACAGTATCATTAAACATGTTACACTCTGTTTTAACTTGAAATCCTTTGGGACATCTTGAACATCTTCTGCATTTACTGTCACCATTGTCTTCTTTAACCTGGTATTTGTAAGCTGGGCATGGCTCAGGAATAATCTTATTTGGCGAGTTCTGAAAATATAAAATTAATGCAAACATTACATATTTCATATTTCCTTGAAATGAGTAAACCAATGTGTAAAGCTTCAACATTGTGACCTCATGGTAATGTGACATCATTGTTTCAATCTGTTGTCATTCATAACTTTTAATTATATTAATAAACAATATGTTACATATTTATAACATATTTCGCATACTTAGCATCTTAACTTGACAAAAATTATTTATTTTTCTGTATTTTAACATATAAGGGAAGAAAATATAAATTATGACCGATTTCTCTCACACGGTGACCTAGTTTAAAATGTTCAAGTTTCATATATAAGGTACTGTACAGATAAAAATCCCCATATTTTCCATAATATATTAAATTACTTGTTCACTAAAATATATTGTACAGTTCAAGTATGTATGCAATCAGCTTTGACCTAAATACAGTTATAAGTTATATTACAAAGTAGAATGTATAAATTACATGTAATCAATAAGAAAAGGAAGAATCTTGTTTGGTTAGATTTAAACCATTTCACAACTTGTGACCTTGGTTAAAATTTACATATCCGAAATTTAGAATTATTCATATGAATTATAGAATTGAAACTTGAATAATTCATTTACCTATTATATTATGTTTTTTTAATCAGAACATGAGTTAGCCGTTGTTAAACTATTTCATTAGGCAGTCCAGTTTAAATTTGTGTTAGACAATGTCCATGACATAGAATTATATTAGTTCCCTTTTTTGGTCCCTTTAGAACGTTTTCAAAATTGATATTGACGCACTATTATTTCGATTATTTTCGTTATACGTCACTAAAAGACACTCAGGGATGCTGCGCACAGTTTCCTCAACTCTTGTTACACTACTGGTATTGTAGCAATATATATTGTCTTGAATATTCGCTAGTTCCAAGGCATTTTATATTGCTATAAAATGCAAAGTCTAAGTATAATTAAACCTTAGGTCTTTTGCCAAAATGTATGCCGTAGACGTTTAGTAACTGATAAATCATTATATAGCACAGGTTTTAAACAGAAAGTACCAGTTTGAACAATTTTATAGTTTTGCAACAAAGATTTACTTACCGGAGCAACAGCCTCAACAACAGATAACTGCATCACTGATATATACAACATACAACATACTCGTGTAATATACAGCCTATGCACAGCTGGTTTCTTAAAGTATGTCATCTTTGCACGGCTCCATTAAGGGGATTTCCTAATAAACTAAAACAAAAAGGGAAGTAACTAGAATAACTGTTCTTCTATTCCAGATTATTTACCTTAGATTACTAGAGATAAATGTTAATATGCATTTTTTCACTAAAGTTAAGAAACCATTATATTTAACTGCTAAGAAAGACTGTAGTTTCAAAATACACGGTTTTTAAAATACATATTTCTAAACCGTTAATCAAAAACACAGCAATCGCAAAAACCCATCAATACAAAAACTTTTAAGGGCTATAAGAAAAGTAGTTTGCACTTGTATTTAACTAAAGTGGTAAAGACAGGGTTTCATTAAACAAAATCTTAATGGGCGTTGAAGGGTCGTGTGTAGGCCTTTCTAGTAAAACCTCGAGATTCTTTTTACAAGAATTTTACTTATTAACCCTTTCTAGTGTTAAGATAATATACTCAACTGTAATATGTAGTGGCGAATCAAATTAAAAGGATTTTATTTTCCTAGGACCGTAATGTTTCGTACGTTATGCATTTAGTGTATAATTATTATTAGTTATAGAGATTTTTGACAGGTTATATGAACCTGTATAAACGGTTGTTTGGAAATATAACCCGAGTCAATATGTCATCTACCGGTGAATATCACATCATATTCATTGGCTCACTAGTCAATAATTGTAAAATAATAATCAGCTGATATAAGATTTAGTTATAAACAGTTATTTTTACTTTCGAATTCCAACTCATAGTGTGTTAACTTGCACAATATCGATCATTTTTAAAGTTAAACATGTGTATAATTAATGATTTCTCATACCGTGTTGTGTTATTCTACGAATATAAAGAAATAGACAGACCCTTAAACAATCCTTCAACCTACTCTGTATGTCATAATAGCTATTTATACCCAGATGATCTGTACTATTTTAGTAATTTGATCCTAGTTATTTTGAAGTTTATTTACATTGTAATATAATCCATTAAATTGACCTATTTATTTATAAAGATAAACCTACCACGGTTATCATATTAAAAGTATAGAAAGATAATTATGACATATTTTACATGTAGCGATTAAAACACAGATAAATGACATATCTTCGCGGAGGCAACGTTAACCGTATCAAAGTTATTAAAAAGTGAAAATAAAACTTAAATAATAAATTGAAAAAATAAAAATAAAATTAATGTACAGGTTTCCAAATTGGATTTTAAATAGAAATATTAAATATCCTTACTTACAGAGTTAGCTTCACAGTGAATGGAAAATATCATTAAAATTCATTAAACAGTCAGTATAGTGACAGGTTTAAAAACAATAACAAATCCTAGTCTCATGAAAAACTCGTTCCATTCGGTTAAGGAGTTGTTTTAAATTTTATTTTTTAAATATCTTAACTTACATTTTCCAAATTTTATTGCCTTTACATTATTTAGATCTCTTTTGTTAATAAAAATTCCCTTTCTATTTGAGAACAATATATGTAATTCATACATGGGTTTTATTTAATACGAGTGCATTTTTGTCCTTTTTGTTAAATCCTCTCACCTATTTTAAAAAGAAAATATCATAGTTAATCTTCCCATGAAATGTTATGTGACTTGTGGTCAAAATGATAAACCGGTTATTAACTAGCTACCACACCTTCCGGTGCTTTATTGAGCGATATATCGCCCTTTGTACAAGGTTATATAGATATATAGGTGCATGTGGTTAATTTATACATGCATGTCCCAGCAATGCATTTTATAACATATTATCTTCAATAATCTAGCCAAGCCTTAAACAATGTACAATGTCAGCATTTTTATGCCTATAAATAGTTGAATGTACTTTGAGCACATTTTTGTGTCTCCTTTTATAAAATCCGATGTCAAAATTGCTTTCTTACGTGAAGTTTCTAAAGGTTTTCACACCTATCATAGTCTTATAGTGTTCTTTTGTGAGCTGTCGTAGATGTTAACGTATAGGAGTGTAAACATTATTTAGAGTCCATGTATTTCAAATCACGTACTTAAATTTCACCTTATAATTACAACCGTATACGTTGTAAGTAGAACCGTTACACCAGTAGTATGTCATGTACATGTAGTAGTAGAATAATAGGTTATATTTTTATGTGATTTTTCTGTAACTATATTGTAAAAGACTTAATAAAAACGTTAGCAATCTGAACTTGATCATATAGATTGTAATATTTAATTAAATTAAATGTACTTGGTTATACAGTGCCCATCAAAAGTCTGGAGACACATAACATTTCACTAATTTTTGGGTAATCTTGGCAAAATCTGTCCAGCAAATGCAATTTTATTGTTTGAAATATAATATTACCTCCATTTATTATCTTTTGGCATAAAAAAATGTTAAGAAAGTCATAAGATTTTCATATTTATATGACAAACTTACAGTTTTACATATTTTTTAGAGAAACCTAAACTTAACTAATGTTTTCGATCACTTCAAAAACCTTTAATAATCCATAAAAAATTTCTGTCCAAATATCAACATAACTTCCATGGTCAGTCTAGTGAATGTTTCAATACAATTCAATACAATACAATGGTTCCGTTTGAAGACAGAGTGCGCTGTAAAACCCTGAGAAGTCAAGGAGTGGCTGCTTCAGAAATTGCCAACATTCTGGGAATAGGAAGGTTGGTTTCTTAAATTGATGATTTTTTACACTTGCTGAATACTTTACAATTCTTTTGCAAGGACAATATCAGCCTTGGATGTTTCTTTTGTGGTTAACGTCAATTTCCTTCTTGTAGAGCCACTGTTCACAAGATCCTGGATCGATTTGAGGCTACATGAAGTCACCATGATCGACCTAGATTGGGCCGCCCAAAGGTCTCTACACTAAGAGACGCTCCCCTTGTTTATCAGGCAATCTTTACAAGACAGGAGACTCATTGTTCCATTCCTCAAGAGGTCATGGAAATTGACTGAGTTAATGCTTCACATTCCACAGTTTGTCGCAGACTTTAGCAAGTTGGATTAGAGTGTCATCAAGCCATTAAGAAGCCACTACTGACCAATGATCATAGACAGAAGCATTTGGCTTTTGCTAGAGCACATTCTGGCTGGGCATGGGTGGATTGGTCCACTGTTTTGTTCACCGATGAGAGCAAGGTCAACATGTTCCAGACAACGTCCAGGTGAAGCTCTTTTGGACGAATGTGTTGTGTCAACAGTGACATTTCAAGGTGGTGGAATCATGGTATGGGGTGCCATGAGCTTCCAGGGACCTGGTATTCTGAAGGTTGTGCATGGGAACTTGAATTCCAAAGGTTACATTGACATTTTGAGCAATTGTGCCATACCATCGCCTCATCTGCTAGTGTATGGAGATGAGAACTGGTACCAAGATGATGGTGTTTCGTGCCACCGAGCAAAGGTAGTAAAAGAATGGCACTCCCAGAAGAGCATTAGGTGCTTGGAGAACTGGCCACCACATTCTCCAGACCTCAACCCTATCGAAAACGTGTGGCATGACATCAAAATGAAGTTCGGGAACAAGCATCATGGTAATCTGAGAGAACTGTCAATGATTGTGATTCCTTGTATGAGTTGACAGTTAATAGATGTAGAACATTAGTTAAGAGTATACCTAGAATAATTCAAGCCGTTTTGGCAGCTTTAGGAGGACACACTTAGCACTTACTGTGTGATCTTTTCTCTTAGCACTTACTGTGTGATCTTTTCTGTACTGCTGTGGTTTTTGTGCTATTAGGAAAATGAGACAAAATTTGGCATTTTAGACTTTTAATCTAAGTTGTGCATTGTTTTTTTGTGTTCATATGTGACATGAATGAATTATTATGTATCATTATACATTCAGAATGAATTAAATTGGACATTTTGCAAAGAAAACTGTTTTTATTGACTTGTCTCCAGACTTTTGATGGGCACTGTATATTAGATCGCTAAAGACTCATTTACCGCTGAAAGGTTGGGTTTCTTTTATCGGACTAAAAGTATTTTATTACAGCGGTAGTTGAAATCTTAATGAAACATTTGCGTAGCTTGTTTCAGTATAAAAACAGACGATCATTTCAAAACGAGGCAATTTTCCACCGTTCTAATCAGCTTGATTACAAGCGTTTGAATATTGCACAATTCAAAACTGTTCCATCTATTTATATAATGAACACTATTAATTTAAGTGACATATGTTGCAATAAAGCAGTATAAAATCATTTGCTTTATTATGGTTATACCAGACAAATCGAATTTCCATTCAGACTTTTTTTATCAGCGTTGCAAAAGACGACCTTTTTATCGGATCTCCTCGGCTTTGATATACGTGCTTAGCACCGCCTAAAAGTTGCAATTGAATTTGACTTCAGGTGATATTTTGTACTTTTACATTATTTTTTGTTACATTATATTTTGCGTGTATTACACAACTAGAAAACGAATAGAGCCATGTTGGATCGTCATGATATGCCTTTTTCTAGATATCATATCATCATCAAATAAAGGCCAATGAATTGTTGCTTTATACGTTACATGTGTGTTTTGCTTATATATATCGCACAAAGGGTATAGATTTTGAAGAATACTAGAAAATTGCATGATAGTGCGCTTTGTGTACAGTAATTGCACAGTAATTGCAAAACATAATTTACATTAGCTAGCGAATAAATATAATTAAGCCTTATAATAGTGTAGACATTTCTTTGTCAGGCTTAATTACCACACATCTACGAGTCTAGACATTTTATGAGACGCTTTCCTAGTGAAATAATCAAATTACGATTTCCTTGTTAGATTCTCACGAATCCTGGTAAAACAAGAACAAACATATAAAGACCGTGTTAACGACCTTATAACCTTACATATTCACATCTGTCACTAATTACTCAGGTGCGAATTTTCAGGTAAAACTCGAATATATAAAAACTCGAAACTTTCATACTTACATTTCACATTATATCAATATCAACCGTTTGGAAAATCTTCTTTCAAATAATTCAATATGACAACAGGAACCCCACGCAAACATCTAGTTAGTCAAACAGAAGTTTTCATGGCAGTGTGTGGAGGGGGGGGGGGGGTGAGGATACAGACGTTTCCAAACAGTTGAACCAACCATTCCTGTCATATCTAGGAATAGTTAGCAATGGTAAATGGAGACTTCTAAAGTTCAGTCCCGTTTGTACAGTACATTGTGTATGCACAAATTGTCATTGTTGACTTTGCAAAATTTCTTATTGATATAAGACTTTCTGTATGCGCATTTCTATGTTTGCTTAAATGTACATGTGTTAGTCATAATGTGCTCACTTGTTATAATATTTGGTTTCTTGTAAAGAAAATATATTTATCATTAATATTAATTATATTTCATTTATATCATATAATGAATATAATAATGTTTGTGATATAATCTTATACCGTATATTTTTTGAATTTATGGCTCAGCTTAATTCCGGGAAATTCTGGACCATCCCTCGTATGTAAAATCATCCCAACACCATTCTTATAACTAGTATTCCAACAATAAATTTATACGCAAAATGTTTGAACATTCTTATATAAATATCTTGATCCGTTCCTCGTTAATTGACAATGATACAAATATATGTATATAAAAGTAGTGTAAAAGTATAAATAAACGTTAAGTTTTTCCTTAAATAGTAGTATTCAATTTCGTCGTTCTAAGAAGTGGAAACCGAAATAGCTCTATATTTTTATGAGGTGCATACTTATATTTCCTCAAGGTTACATTTCAATTTAATTTTTTTTAATTCATAGCTGTGAATGTGTCTTATTTCTAATATGCTGTTAAACAATTTTAGTGTCAGTGGTTTTCTCAAGGCCTTGACCTCCTGATTTTGAGGAAAAGTATCGCTAAAATTGCTAATTTGGGGAAAGGAAAACTGTATGATTTTAAAGAACATTTACATTTGGAAAATGTCGTTTATAGGCTTCTGTTATACGTGTATAAGGTGAAACATCACTGAATAGAGGCAGATTTAAGAAATGATATGTAAGCTAAGGTTAAAATTGTTTTGTTTTTAACTAATACTAGTATCTGTAAATCCGTGTAGGATATGTCGATTAATTATTAAGGAATCAAGCACTATTGGGTTCATTATTATGAGTAATGAGGGCATATAACACCAGTTCTGGTTAATTCATATTAGTTTCAGGAATCAGACTCGAGAGTGGTTCTTTAAACACTTCCTGTTTTCATCATAATCGAGCTATAGGTATGTACACTGAAGTATATCAATGTGACATTGAATTATATTAACGAATCTATCTAGTAAAGGTCCTTTTACCTTAACTTCATATTTGACTTTGCAAGTCTAATGATATAAAATGTTTACTCGTCGAACTTTAAATTTGGATCTGTTCGTTATTAAGGGACTGATTTTCAATTTTTAAGTACTTAATGTGTTCAGTGCACATGATAAAGGGTTATATCACATTTCACATTGCCTCGCGCATATTTGTGGACTCTCATTGATGTAATGTTTACAAAGCGAGAAGAATAATTGTGATAGTTCATTTTTATTATTATTTAAACGCAATTTATGCAATGCATATTATAAATAGTCAACAACTGCATAGCAATATAGTTATAACAGGTAAAAAACTGTCTATTAGTCACACGAATAACAATGACATAAACATAAAAAATAAAACAAATGTAGAGGAGATTCAAGTTTTTTTTTCAATAAATACAGGATTAATTTTCATCGCGTGGAAAGAAAATAAATATTTCATGAGGGGCGGTAGCCACCAGTGAGATATGACATTTTGCATACCACAGGATGAAAATAAATCCTGTAATTATAGACACAACTTGAATTTTTATGTTTATCATATACATTTTTTTTTGAAATCACAATCTTAAAGATTTCCCCTTAAATTTTGTGTATACTGGCTGAATTCTGAAGAAAGTAGTCCAGCAAGACACCAGTAAAAATACAGAAAATATGTTTCTCTGCAGTGAATTTTTTTACAGTGAAAATACGAAAAATGAAATACCCATTTTATTTCATCAATATTTCTCAATATTACGTTTATAAGTATATAATAAATAAAGCTATCTAGTTGTGGCACGAATATCAGAGCTCGTTCGTTTTATGACATACCCTTTCATTACTTGCTAAAGCTAATATTTAACATATGATATTATGCTGATCATGTAGCGCGAATCAAGAAGTACAAAAATAATTTGATTAATTATTTACTAAAATAGATACTTTAATAATGTTAATGCAATGCATACAAGAAAATAAGTCTCCGCAATGAGTGAGAGACAATTTTATGAATTTCACATTTATATCCAATATCAATAAAACTCATTAATCTGTTGTTTTAACTTGATTGGTAATGATATAATGATCATTATGTGTCCGTGAGAAGGTCATTTTTTATGTCAAACTCTCTATTCCTTATTGAATCAACCAACTACAAACACATCATGCTCACTATAATGCTAAAATCACTGTTTCTTCGTGCTTAAGCATTAACATATAATTACAAAAAAACAGTTAGCTTTGACAGACGGCTATTTATCAAGACCACATTTGAAATTAGCACTGTAAATTGTATTTGCATTGTATATCATAAGTTATAAGTATTTTAGACATTAAGCAATCAAGCAATCCTGTCATCGAAGATCTAATTCCGGTTTGTGATCAAATGTTGTTTGATCAATGAAATAATAATTACTATTGTCTCCGTCTGTGTTAGAACAATCACTTGTTTTTACTGAGAGTGTGTCGTCATTCTGTAGAGAGTAGATATCTCTATCAACTTGATCACTGACGTAACTAGTTGCGTCATCATGATTATGTGTGATGACGTCAGTTTTTGAACATTTTTCTGTCACACATTTTTTGCAATGCTCATGTTTTACGTATATGACAAAAACACCAAATATTACAAACATAACAGAAAGAATAAGATATAACCATAAAGCCACATTTTCATGTATTATTCCGTTATCCGTTCCTTCCAGCTGAACTTTAATAATTTCTTCTATACCTGCGGTAAATAAAGATGAACATTTAAGAAAAACGTCTGCAATTATAAGTTTGAACCAATTTGAAATATTGTTAATGAGTTTAGATAAACAAAAATTGCTTTTAAAGGAAAATAAGGTAGAGTAGTATGCTATTTTGTACTAGAGAATTATCCATAAATGGATACATATCCTCAAAGGACCAAGCTTTTATTTAGGCTAATACAGGACCAAAATTAGATTAAATACAAAAATGTATAATATATGTACATTATGGAACCATTTCCCACATAACTATCTACTAGTGTAATAAATGTATTTCTTATACAATGCATACAAACTATACATTAAACAGTTTGAGAAAATTGTGACATGAATATGTTTTATACTCAGATTGAGAACATACCCGTTGTTGAAATATCTGGTTTCGCCTTTGTTATTTCTTGCGGCCAGCATATGTGTGAATTATGATGTCCTAGTTTGTCACTGCATTCTGGCACGACCAAGTCTAACTTATATGGACATTTAGAACAACGTAAACAACTTCCAGACGATGAAACTCTAAAATGATCTTTAAAAATATACGAAATTATTACATTAATAAACATCATTGAGTACAATATGAATGTATATGTGGACGTGTCCCTAGATGGAGAAATTTTGTGGCTACCTTGCGGTCTAATGGGTATAAATCCGTATATATCCCGTACCCAGTTCATTGTTAAATAAACTGTTTAATTAATAATTATAATTATATAATAATACATTGTTATATCTAAAAATTAACAATGTATGAAGCGTCTTATAGAGTCCGAAAAACTGTTTCATTCGAAACCCTGTCATGCCTTTTTATCTTCATAATATTTGCATGGGTTTTTTTAACTATACAACTAATACGAATTGATGTTCATATGTGCTTAAAATACTAAATTATACGGACAGAATATGTGATATAAGAAGATCGGGTGAAATAGGTTTAAAACAAAAGGAAGTGTTGTATATTTTTAATACTAATTAAGAATATTTGAGTAACTTTGAATGTTTGATAAAAACCGATAGTTAGGATAAAAAAAACTGTTTAGAATAAACGACATGAATCATTTTCTTTCAAAATGGTTTCTGTATAACTCAACACCTACGCTGTTGTAGGCAACCGATACCTTTCTCAAATGTATAAGCTTTCAGTAACCCGCCCACAGATCTTGGTATATAGCCCTGTCATATATTGCTATAAAACAAATACGCTAAAGGACATTCCACCATGAATGGTAAAAAAACTAGAATTACCGTGGTAACAGTTTCCGCATTCAGTGTCTCTTACACCGTCGCATTTAGCAATTATATTTTCATTTTGTCGGCATTGTTTGCAAGGAACACATGAGGTCACGTTTCCTGATAGTGTAAAGTATCCTTTTGGACATTTTCTGCATTTAGTATCTCGTTTTCCTATACAATGACGACGAATAAATTCACCTGGCGAGCATACAGAACATGGCTGACATTCATTTCCCGTATTATCATTATATGTGCCTGCAGGACAAGGTTCACATACAGTATTCGAGAACATATCACATGCTTTTTTGACCCTGAATCCTTTGTGACATCTTGAACATCTGTTGCACTTCATGGTACCATTTTTGTATTTGATAACAAACTTGTTCCGTGGACAAAGCTGGGATACCTCTACTTTACTTAGGTACTGAAATAACAACAGAAACCAAAATTAATGGTACAATTGTGTTAAAATTTTTTATCAAATTAGGTTTTGATGCGTTACGTATGATCAATAACATAAATCAATAGTTATCACCATATTATGTAAAAACTAGAATAAACATTTACATGAAACAGAAAAAATAAGTTTCTTAAACTGTTAAATATCGACGATTAATAGAAATTAAAACCAAATTAAATGTGTTGTGTTGACACTGTTAGTTTTCTCTACACTTTACTTATAATGATAAACATAAATACATGTATATCTTTACATGTTTTCTAATAGGAAGTTAGACAATTTACATATTATATGATAAAATAAAACGTCTTTGTAAAAATACTGAAGGAAGTTAAATAAAAAAAACTCGAAATAAAAGAATTGAAATCTATTGTTTTATTTGGCACTGTCATAGTTGAAGTTATGCAAAATACATTTCTACACTGATTTTTCTGAAAACGGAAACATTTTGACCCCATTTGCATGTAACAGAAAAAAAGAGAAAATTTCTGATAAAGGCTTTAATTAATTAATTAGTTAATGCTTAACCCATTGCTTCATGAGCATTTTGTGAAAAATGGCTGTTTTCATTGAAAAGTCTCCCGTTACAAGTTCAAATTGCTATAATACTATAAAAACTGCTTCAACACTAATCAAACTTGGCACAAATGTTGACTGGACCATTGCCCTTGCAACAACATGCTCAGGCTTAAATTTTCTGTTACCATGGCAACGAGGGGACATCTCAAAATTGCCAAAAATCACTATTTTGCGTTGATTTTTTCCATCAAAATTGATTTCAAAGTGCTGCAACTTCTCAATGGATTGAGATAGAGTCAAATGCTTTTCAGCGTTGGTTACACGTTACCTTATGATCAATCTGGGGTCATTTACAGCCTCTCACAAGTCCAAAATTTTCTTGATAAGGCATTTTTTCATCATTTGAGACAACAAAAAGGGGGGGGGGGGTGAAAAAGGCGTTAAAAGGCGTGTATATGAAGTAATGGGTTAATGTCGTATTCAGTGTTAAGTGTTCTATTCAATGTCATATTTAATGTTTCATGTGTTTAGTGTTCTATTAAATGTCATATTTAATGTTTCATGTGTTTAATGTTCTATTAAATGTCATATTTAATGTTTCATTTTGCTTTTTTGTTGTTGATATTAACGTCGTACCAACACTGCAAAGGTCACATTGCTATTTTTCAGCTTTACGCACCAGAATGGAACTACCGCCTCACACGAAAGACTCTAATGCCCCTGGCGGGATTCCGACCAACAACGATGAGACGCCAGTGGTTGTTTTTATATTCTCTATATCGACGTATTAAATGTTATTAAATTTCATATTATAATGTGGAATGTTATGTTTAATGTGATATCTGACGATCATATTTGATATCGCATGTTGTATTTGGCGTTTAATGTCATATTAATTATAAATTACCTATTTGTTCAATGCCATTTTAGCAAAATGATTAAAAAAAGTATGATTAATGTTACATTACCGTTAAAACGTTGTGATATCATTGAAGTTCATCGTTATGGCATATATGTGTCATAATAAAACAAGAATTATTTATTAAACACATTTAAGCCGTGTTACAATGTTTGTATTCACTACATTTAACTTTAATATGTTTAGTAATAGGAAGTTAGTCACAACTTACACTTTTATTACACTAATATATGATGAAAAAAACCATCTTTATAGTAAAAATACTGAAGGATGTAGACAAAACTACTCGAAATAAAAAAAATATATTAAGATATTATTTGATATTAAATTTTAAAATACAATTTAATCTAGTGCTTAATTTGGAACAGTCATAGTTTAAATCTTGTGAAAAGGGGCGCATTTTGACCTGAAAAATATACATTCAGTATAAAAAATGAAAACATGAACATTTCTAAAAATAGCATGATCAAATAAGAATAATGCAGTAATGCCCGATAAAATAAAAAATGTTTGTGAGATCACGGATTATATTTATCTTTTATCAACTGCCTATTACCGAATATTGAATACATTACATGTATCCAAAACGGGATTTTGATAAATTAAACGTTTCAAAACCCGATATAAGTAAAAGATCAAGTTTAATATTTGGCAGGTTGAACATAGTGTATTTAAACGTTCGGTACTATAAAAAAGAGAATAGTTTCATTACCGGTATGTTAAAAGAACAACCACTTTAAACATCTTAAAAGTTAAAGTAACATAAATGAACATAATTTACCATATGTTACATGTACAGCTAATATTCTATTTATACCTTTATCGTATCTTGAAATAAAAAAGAGATAATTTTTGTTTACACATAGTACCCTTAGAACATAAATCTGATGTCTTGGTAATTGAAAACGAAACAATGAACTAAAATTTACATATAGATATACATATGAAAATGTTACATTAAAAGATGATATGATAATTTGTTAAAAAGTTATACAATTGTCTTACCGGGACGGCACTGTTTATAGATGGGATAAAAAGTTGTCCTACGATGAACATAACAGTATATATCTCCATTATAAACTATTACATAATAGACAGTTATTATCCACGAGCGTTACAACACATAATGGTATGGGAAATCCCCTCACCGTACCCAATACTGTAACGCTGACTAATGTTTTAATTAGATAGGACGAAATGGGAATTACCGAGTAGTATGTATATTACCTTCATACTTTCGGTTTAAATTTATACAGATAGTACAGTATTCTTTATTTCTTTTCATAAAAGATATCAATTAACTGACTGACCTAGTTTTCCGTCTATTTCTGTAATAGCGTTTAAAAATCTAGATACTTAAACCATTGAAAAGGTCATTGATAAAATCATTAAGACGCTTATTAAGGAAATAATAAATGTTAAAAATAGTTGCATAATTCTAAATTATTTTGTAATAATAAAGTAGGTCGTATTGCTTACATACAACATTAAGATATACAAATAATGAATCATATACACATATATATGCATTATATGCATGTTTTGCATTTTTTAATGATTTGGTTTTTAAGTTAACAAAGAAAATCTAAAAGATTTTCAAGATTGTTTTTTTATAATATGACGATGACAATAGATTTAATTAGCATTAAACATTGTATACATGTATTATTATTCCTTTATATAAAAAGGGTGATTCCACAGATCCGAATAATTATAGGGGTATTATGATAACAAGTTCTTTCGCTAATTTTTTTACTGTGATTATAAATAACAGGCTGAAGAAATGGTCTGTGGAAAATGACAAGATTACGGATTTCCTTGTTCGGGTTTAAAACAGATTATAGCACTGTAGATGCTATTTTTATATTACATTCGTTGATGGAAAAGTATATAAATGATAAGAAGAAACTATTTTGCTGTTTTATTGACTAAAAAATACGATCTAATTGACAGGAACCGCCTATGGTATAAATTGGAAAAAAATGTGATATTGATGGAAAATTGTTTTCTGTGATATATTCAATGTATGAAGATGTTAAATTGTGTGTGAAACATGTAAAAACGTTGTCTGATTTTTTCAGTAGCGAAATAGGTCTCTTTCAAGGTGAGATAACTTCACCAATTATGTTAAGTCTCTTTTGAATGATTTAGAAAATATGCTGCAAGAGATCAAATATCGATTTATTTGCTATTATATGCAGTTGACGCCGTTCCGAGTCTACTCAAGGTTTACAGAAGAAAATATTGTAACAAATGGCATCTTACTGTTAATGTAGATAAGACTAAGATCGTTGTATTTTGAAAAGGGAAGTTTTGAATAAAAGTTATAAGTGGATATATGGGGGTCAAATATAGAGATTGTTAAAACGTCTAATTACCTAAGTATTGTTTTGTCTAGTGGTAGTTCGTTCATACCAGCGACCAACTCACTAAAAGGTAAAGCACTACAGAGCTATGAGCTCATTTATTAAATGTAACAAGAGATAAGCAAGTTCCCATTGATATTATGTTCAACCTGTTTGATGCATATGTTCTACCAATTCTAAATTATAGTTGTGAGGTATGGGGTAGCATACCATCGGAAAATTTGGAAATTGTACATAGGAAAGTCTGTAAATGGTTGCTCAATGTGAAAATGTCAACAAATACTCTTTCATTGTTTGCAGAAGTAGGCCGATTTTCATTATATATTTTACGACATGTAAGACTTGTTAAATATTTTATAAAAATATATCAAAATAAAACAAGCAATTGTATATTTATATTAAGTTATATTGTTAATTGTCAGATATTGGAGATATAGTTGCAAATTGGTTGTCTTAAGTCAAAGCAATCTTGCAAAGTGCGGCATTTAATAATGTTTGGATGTATTCAGAATCAGTTTAGCTTGATATACCCGTATATCAAGCTAAACTGATTCTTTGTATGATTTTCTTAGGAAACAGTATATATCCAATCATTTTGCATGAGACCCTAGCATGTTTAAATTTTAAAATTGCTTAATTCAGAAAGAGGTTCAGTGTAAACAAATTAGCTATATAATGTTATAAAAAAAGCTTTTAAATAAAGATTTGATTAATTTAATGCCGAATAATGATATATAGGCCCACCTTGTTGTATTGTTTGAAGATATATAAGGATTGTTTATATTACATTTGTTGTATTACACTCTCACTAGTATATTTCATTTACCATTTTTTTTATATTCCTGCCTGTATATATTTGTTGTATATGAAGATGAGCTGTATATGCTTAAATTAAAATAAAATATATGTTCTATTATGTTCATAATCATAGAAATAATGAAAAAAACCCAATGATATACAAAGCGTATTATATAATGTCAACTTTTCTGGATATTATACTTGTACGGTGTATTAGTTTAAAATGATCAAAAACAATGGTGATAGTCACGCATACTATATCAAAGTCTTGACATAATCTTTGGCACGTTATTTCATTTTTCTTTTTCGAAAACGGACACATTTGTCTAGTATATATATGAGGCATTATGGCTTTTCCATTGCTTTAATAGTCTAATTCATTTACTTTGGTTATAATTATGATGAATCAAAGAAAAGAACATCCAAAAAATCGTAACCAAACCACCACACCACCATTTACAGCAAAGATAAAAAAAATATATTATATAAGGTTAATGACAATGCTGCATCAACAGCCTTCTTTTAATGATAATGCTATATCTGTTTTATCCATTGGCTAAGCTTGCCCTACGATGATCGAACAGTTGAGCCATATTTTTATGCCCGCCGAATATCTCTTATACTATAGTATTATTTTCAAATTCCTTTTTGCCAAAAATTGTAATACATTGTTTGAAAGTCACATAGGAATTGCATCTGTGCTGGTATCTGTGCCGGCTTTATGTCTATTTATTTTTACTCGAGAAGCAGCATCAAATATTTAAGCTGTACTAATTGAACGTTAAAGTGGAACTATGACCTGCAATATAGCTGTCCACCCTTTTCACAGTCTCACAGAGCCGTAACGTCCATATTTCAATAAAAACTGTAACCTGCAATTGTGCAAAAACAAAATGTTTATTTATATGACCGAATGACTCTGTTAATGACCTTCACAAAACATTTATTATAACTTTATGCTATTTTAGTTCAAAACAGTGAAATATGATCAGTAATATATATACACTTTGCCAGAAATTCTTTTTTTTGTCTGATAACGTTGAATTACAGGAATATTTTCTCACATATTGATTGTATCAATTATACAATAATTCTTATTTTTGTCTATCCTGTTGTAATGTTGTTCACATATATGTGACTAGAATGAGGTTAATTCTCGCAATGTTTCCAATTTTATAGCCACAAGACAATTATCTGTGCTGTATATCAATTCCAATTTTAGGACGAACATTATATATAGAAGAACTCGCGGAAATAATAAGATAGAATCGTCTTGAATACAAATGACTGCTTTGAAAAGTCTTTTTGTTCTCTTACTTGAAAATACAGTACAAAAGGGTATAATTTTACTTACTTTATTTTCTTCTAATTTCTGCTTCATGTATTTAACCATATTGACTTTTATTGTCTTTCTGCTACGGATGCAGTGCAATAGTGTTAAGAATCTGAGCAAGAACAATACGAATACTCGTCATGTCATAAATCGTTACTTTCTGACCCCAAAAATAATATCCTACCGATGAAAGAAATTTAAAGTGTAACCTCATTTGAGCCGCGTCATGACAAAACCAACATAATGGGTCTGATCAGGACCCATGCTGTTCGCTGTCAGTTTCTCTAATTGTTATAGGGTTTGTAAGCGAACAGCATGGATCCTGATCAAACTGCGCGGATGCGCAGGCTGGTCTGGATCCATGCTGGTCGCAAACCCATTATGTTGATTTTGTCATGGCGCGGCTCTTTTGTCTTCCAATCTCCGATCGTTTCTTGAAGTGTCAGTTAACAATTTCTTATAGACAAGAGACGGACATAAAATCCTGCTGTATTATACCGACAAAGCTGTCAATGTTGTGCTAACATGTCCCGGTAACATGTAATTATCGCTCTTGTTGGGATAATTAATCACGTTAAACGTAACGGATGTTTAAAATGTCGAATTCGCTAGTTTTAGGACAAACACACTTAATCATTTAAATTATTGCAAAACAAAGTATAGTCTGATTTTATTGACCTGTCAATTTTGAATACATTATAGCACTCATTTAAATATTCGATTTCACTTCGGTTCTGTCCGTGTAGTTTACGAGAATTAATATGGAGTAAAAAATTAATGTTTTGAAAAGTCACACCAGCTTAATGCATAGGGGTTGTCAAATCGGCGATAGCACAGACGGTAGAGTGATTGTCTAATATACTGGGGGTCTTTAGTTCGATCCATACTTTTGCCGTTGTTTTTAGGCCTACTCTTTTTTTTATTTTTGCAGTATATTTTTATGAAAATGGCCGAGTGCTTCCAATATTGTCTACACATATATGAATCAACTAAGAAATATTGTCTCAATTTGTATTGTGTTTAACGCCATTGAAACGACATTTTCTAATTTTAATCCGAATTCATTATAAATTTTAATTATGAAAGCATGTTATTTAAAAGGAGTTTAATTGCTAAACATATTAAATCAAAACGAACAACATAACAAGCAATTATAGTTCCGATAATGTTGAAAATAGTTATAAGAAGAAGAAAAAAAACCAAAAAAAAACATTGGAGGTACGCGGTCTCGATCTCACAACACGTAAGACACTTAGAAATCATTAACCTGTAGCTTACCCTATTTCGCTATACCGCACAGTATAATTGCTCCATAGGCACAAATTATATTTAATCAAATCTCACTGAGTACATCTCACGGAAATTACCGAAAACTTTTCGAAGATTAATATATTGTGTGCATTGACCGTGTAATTAGTATGGAATTGACAGGTTAATAAAACCGAACAATACAAGGCACATTTGTATCAGACCTGTACTTGGACGAAGTGTGCTGTCACGCTTGACCGCGCATTAAAAGACCCTATTCCGCATTATTACTCGCTGACACGATTTTACTGGCTATTACTAGCTGTCGCGTTATGCTGCAGCTTTACTCGCCGTCACGCTTTTACTGGCTATTACTAGCTGTCACGTTACTTCGCAGCTTTACTCGCCGTCACGCTTTTACTGGCTATTATTA